GAAAGTTCCGCCTTACAAGCAGTTGACGTTAAAATGACAAACGCGACGCGCAAGATATCAAAGGGATATCCAAACTCATCAGACCAAAAACAACCTGACAATGCCATTCCAAAAAAACAAAACAAACAAACTATCAAAAGACAAAAAACAGTTAACAAAACACAACATAAAAACTAAGAAACTGAGCAACACAAACCCCACCAAAACTGGGGGATGATCTCAGGTGCTCGGGAATGGAAAGCAGATCCTGCTCTATATGTTGCACCTGTCGTGTTGCTCATGTAAGTACACACCCGGTGATAAGTCTAATTCGGTAGGTAACATTCGACAGTATATAACACAATTTTATGTAAGCAGCTGAAATGTATGTATCTTATTAGGATAAAAATGATAATAACGATTTGTAAACAGTAAGTTGTTGCGCATGTGTCATACATATTTTGTGCTAATTAGAACACGGCTTTGTTAAAAGCTTTACAAAGCGAAATAGGGACGTCATATTAGAATCTCTATTCTTTATATATTTTGCTAATTTTTCTCTATTCATTATTTATTTTTGGCCAACAATCTCTATTCTGTCAACCCTATCCAGACCCTCTACTATTTAGGAGTTCGCCCAACAGACATTTGCGGAAACTAGGTCTTTACCTAGGATTACACTAAGACTTACGAATACAGTTGACGAAAAACAAGGGGTCATCTCAAAATATATAAAAGAAACAAAAAAACAACAATAGAGATACATAGTAAATTCAAATGATTTTTTATTATGTAAATAAGTCTTTCCGACGACCCACTAATGCATATTTGAATCGCTGTCTTGGATGTCGTCACAAAGTCCTCATAACTTTGTATTTTTTTTAATTCTCCGATGGCGTGTTCAACCTCTACTCTGTAGTGTGTAATTCTATTTAATTGTCTACACTACCTCTACATATTCTGAGGTTTTCTATTGTCTTGTATATGATTGTATAAGGTGTCAATACTGGATGTCTGTTCGGATATATTTTGTCGTCCAGCATACACAGCAGAGAACCATACGCTTTCCCCGAGAAACAGAGTACTTCTTTGTATCTTATGATTCGAAATATGTGTCTTACCTTATTTAAGTATATCAAAATCAGCAAAAGTTTCATTCAGAGGATACTTCACAAACGGTGCACTTGAAAATCACGGAAAAAATGCGACAAGCAAGTTACACAACATAATTATTAACCCGCCGCAGCGCAGTGTATTTTGAAATATTAATGTTGGCTGTTGTCCTTCTTTTACTCAACTACACTTGTGCATCCGGTACGTAACCGACTTAAATAAAAATTTGTTTTGCAATTTCTTCTCGCCTGATATACCTATGAACCTTTTATCCCTTTTAATCAACCGACTAATTTTGCGGATAAACTTTTTGTTGACATGGACACCATCATGCACTCCATAGTACAATTTCAAGAAAAATTGTAGCGGTATCGTATCCGGAATCACTGCTGATGCTTCGAGCATACCAGACTTACCCATGTTCATGGGAGAGATTCATCGATTTGATTTGATTTTTTGATTTTTGGTGTTTTAACGCCACTTTTAAGCACCGCTTTTGGGCTATTTCGTGGCGGCCAGTTTTTATTGGTGGAGGAAGCCGGAGTACCCGGAGAAAACCACCGACCTTCGATAGGAAAACTGACAATCCTAGTCAATTAAGATTGGAGTCGAGTGCACCCGCACGAGCGGGGTTTGAACTCACAACCTCAGTGTTGACTGGCTAGTGATTACAGTAGTAACTACTTAGACCACTCGGCCACCGAGGCCCCGAGATTCATCGACACCGTGAAATAAAAGTTACATACTTAAATGATTCGAAAGATATCTATAAAATTTGCACACACACAAATAAAAAACTTAGAACACGATTGCCATTTTTTTTTTATTTGAAAAGAAAGATACTTAAATTCTAACTATTTGTGTACACCTATTCTTACATTTCAACAGAGTTTGACGAATAGTTTAAACTATATATTCGACATAAAGATGTTCATTGGTAACGGTGTTGTGTTTTTTCGTATATTTTTGATTTTGTCTATTGATATCAAAAATGTAGACAAAATTGTCTGCCAAATTCAGAAAATATAAAAGATAATAAAATATACCGAACGGCAAGTGAAATGCCTTGAAGTATACATAGTTTTTAAACACCCGCCCGTTGTATGCCCTCATTCTCTTAAAAAAAAAACGGAAAATGTATGTCTTAGCATAGAAATTAAACATTGTCAACATACTCCTTAGTTGATCGCTCGATTCTCAACATTAAGTCTTGCTGATTGTTATAATTGTCCCAACCTATCTACTGCAACGACAATTGTGAAAATTTATTTGCATGTCTCATGATGAATTAATTAAATGATGTTTGTCCATTCTATCATACTCTGTACATTTACAGCATGTTTAACCTAGATGAAACCATGTACAATAATTAATGTTATGCATTACTACATATACTAAAATAGAAAAACATCATATGAGTTAGCCTTTGTTTTTGAACAACGGTTTATATTTTACACTTTGAGACGACCCAAGATTCAAATGCTACTTGTAAGGTTAATTGTAATCCTAATCGTAGGTGTATGGCAGTTTCCTCAAATTTGGAACTGCGATTCAGCCTAGTAGAAGAAGATTGATTATGTTATGATTATGAATCAATTAAAGTCTATGCCGTATCGATTAAAATCCGGTAAGACGCGTATACGGTTCGACTAATCGTATAGTCAAGAAGCAAGAACATCACTTTCACTACCATCTGCAGTAAAATGTGGAAACATGGTTCTACTTTTGCTGTATTGAAAGGATATCCATTTTGTTTTGTAACACGGCATGCAGTACGCATGAAAAAAAATATTTGTACGGCGACGGCCGTGCCTGCCGTACCGGCTGCTATAACCCCTGGTTGCTACTATCTAATTGTTATGCCAATATATGCAAATGAGGCCATTTTGTTCCTTAAATGCAAAAATTTAAAGGCCTAAAGTAAACATGTGAGCTTATACCAAAATATGACTACCATAATCTGACAAGCTAATGTCATGTGAACAATTGAAGGATGTAATTTTTTATATTTATCAATTCAATTTTAATTTTCAAATACAACCGAAAAAAGGTCACATCAAACGACTGAAAATTTATTCTGTAAATGATATTATTAAATAGATTCAAACGTGGTAACATAGAATAAGGTAATTTTTTTTTGTGTTTAAATTAACTTGCAGTGCAAAAATGTCTTAAACCTTAATTTGAATTACACACCATTAGATCTGTGCTAGATTAATCAAACGACAGGACTGCAGAAGTTCTCTTTGAATAAAACCATACCTCATATACCTTAATGTTTATCATAAAGAATTTAAATCAATTGTCTTCTTTGATGTTTTTGTCCATATCACATTTGTATTGCAAATGCATGCAAGTAAAGTTTAAATTTACTTTAAATTTCTTTATTTTAGATATCTTTTATGTGGATGTTGAACACTTCAAAAATTAGGTGAAACTACAGACAATTTCTCATCATTTTATCAGATTGATAATGTCCAAAACATTACTGATTTTTCAACAGGCAGTTTACTGAATAAAAAGATTAAATATTAACGATCAATTACAACTGTTTTAGTATGAATTCCGTGGATGCAGATAACATGTGATATGATATATATGTATAATGAACATGACATAGTGTATATAAAAGTACATCTATATATTTTGTACCATTTATCTGTCAACTGATTGTTGGATTAGTTATTTAGGAAAATCTAATGAATGGAGGTTTCAATCCTCAAAAATAAAATGAATATAAAATTACAAAAAAAAAGTTCTCGTTGATCCTCTTTTGTATTCTTGTCTTTCATTTGTTGCTTATATGCTTTGTCTATAAAGTGTCTATATGCCATTTTGTTTTTCTTTGTTGACATATTTGTTTGTTTTGATAAAGTGATTAAGATTATAACACAATATTGACTACTGTACCACAATTTTAGATATTTTTACCTATTATTATGTCTGTTTGTTTTGCTCACACATTGTTGTCAATATAATGGAATTCTATGCGACTGTCATACAAATGAGAGGTTTAGCTAGCTATAAAACCAGGTTTAATCCACCATTTTCTACATAACGAAATGTCTGTACCAAGTCAGAAATAACAGTTGTTTTCCATTCATTCGATGTGTTTGAGCTTTTAATTTTGCCATTTGATATGGGACTTTCGGTTTTGAATTTTCCTTGGAGTTTGGTATTTTGTTATTTTACTTTTATTAGACACCATACTTCAAAACTTGCATTGTGTTTTACCAATTGATGTAAATCGTTAGTTATTTTGCATTGCTAAATACGCATGCATTGGTTTGTTTATGAAATTGACGGTTCTTGTTTAAGATATTTTTGATTTACTGTTTAAAAAGTTATTAAATTAGACCTCGCCTAAGCTATATGCTATACGGAAGTGTAAAAGCAAGTTCAAGTTGACCTTAGATAGAATTGGCTATTATTTTATGTCACTTTTTGGTCATATAGCTCTTCAACTTTTTCGGCTCTTATACATCCTTGGTTCTTAAATGATCGGCTTTGACCGTTCCTTATGAAGATAAATACAGAAAAGCGCTTCGGACGCATGAAATTCATCAAATTTCATTTTTGACACACAACAAGCCAACAGCTCCACCACACCGCATTTATGATATGACAAATTCCAGATCATTTGTCAAAAAGATGTATGTTTTGAATAAAGTGATCATTAATACCAGGATTACAATTTTTTTACACCAGACGCGCGTTTCATCTACTAAAGACTTATTAGTGACTTATTAGTGACGCTTGGATAAAAAAATTAGGCCAGATAAAATACGAAGTTAAAGAGCATTTAGGACACACAATTCAGAAGTTAACTGTATGTTTTTCCTTCAAATAAAACTATACGTTTTGTACTTACATATTAAGGGTGCATTAGAGCATACCTTGTACTTAAAAGTACGGTAAGTTTTTATTATATTGTACTCGACAGTCGTCATACTAATATTGTAGATTGAATGATCTGTACTTCTTTGAGTGGTATGTATATACTTTAGTTACTTATTGTACTTTTCTAGAATTAGATGGCAAATGCAATTTTTCAAATGCAGTTTTAAATGCAATTGTGATCACTACTTATTTTTTTTTTTTATATTTTTGTGTTGTCTTAGGCTAGGCTTTAGTGTCAAGTGTATTGATTAAAATTAAGGATGCGTTAACATGGTTAAGAAATGAAAATACCAAATGAACATATTTATAAATATCCTCAACACAAAGAAAGGGTCAGGACTTATGTACCTCGATAGTATGTAGTTCCTCTACCAATAGTGACACTACTCTCGTAATGAATAATAATTCGTATACGGTGAGAAGACTTGCACGAGAATCAGAGGGCGGATTGGTAGTTACAAAAACCAAACCTATCAGTGGTCATCTGCAATACAAAAAATGAGTAACAATCAACCAATCCGTGATGGTGTATCTAGAACTTTTGAAGATATGACATTAATTTTACCATGAATAACCCCTGATCCAACGGCTTTCTTTGGAAGCAGCAACCTATTATCAAAAAGATTATCATATATATTCTGATTGTCCTATCAATGCTAACAAATATACATCATGTTAGGTCCTTTTGGTCATATAGCTCTTCAAATGTTTCGTCTCTTATAATACTTGGCTTTCATATACTAGGCTTTGATTGCTCCTGTTGAAGGTAGATCAAGAAAAGAACTTCGGACGCATGAAGATTAAAAAATGTTTCCTTTTTTATGTGCAAGTACCGATTAAATTTGAAACGAGTGGTTCCACTACTCAATGTAACAGTATGATTATCATATAGGTAGTAGATAAACATTATTCACCGACCAAGACATAAAAAAAAAGAAAACAGAGCCCATTTTGCATGTATTGCCATCAATATTTCAGAAAAATAATAAATACCTTCATAATTCTGCTATGCTTTTATTCAAAGACTTAATAAAGATCATATGTTTTACACAATCGATAGATAACTAGGGTATTGTGTAATATATATGTTACGGATATTAAAGATGAGACAGTTATGCATTTAATCCTACAAAAATCAGGTTACTAGACAATCAAAAGGTACAAATAAACTTTAGCGGTATATGAGACCTCATTTACTATTTGTTAACTCTGTCTTTTGAAATCTGGCTTCAATTTATAACAAGGAAACGGATGGGCGGTCTATCAAAATCGGTTTTATAAAAAAGAGAGAGATGGCGCCTGGGAATATTTTCGAAAAATATATAGATTCTTAACAAGAGAGAAAAAAATGATCGCCAGTCAATTCCTTAATTTCTGTTTCTTTAATTTGCACACATAATTTTCTGACAATGTATGTATATTGTAGATCAACATTTAAACGAAATGAATAATCATTTGCTAGTGTAAAAAGACGTTTAATGGGAACTTTTGGTTATACCTGACCGATATACATTTCTATCAACATTAAAAACTACTTGTCGGCATATTACTATAAGTTAAAAGATATATTAATGGTAACGGTCCAATAAACACTTCAAATATAGAGCGCAGTCATGTAATAGGCACGCAAAATAAAACTACCGGGACAAGCAACTATTTTTAAGTGAAAAGTGAAAAAAGAATTTGATGTTAAATTTTTAATATAGTTTCATCATATTTTAAGTACATAGTGATAGTAGTGACTTTGATTCACTAATTTAATTTCAACGTTCTCAAGAATCGATGTAATATGAATTAAAATATTTATTTTATTAATAAGATAAACAATTGATTTGATGTTAACGCTAATTGACCCAAATAATAATAATAATAATAATAATAATAATAATAATAATAATAATAATGATGATGATGATGATGATGATGATGATGATGATGATGATGATGTTTTTAATAATAATAATAATAATAATAATAATAATAATAATAATAATAATAATAATAATAATAATAATTTAATCTATGTAGTGATGATGATGCTTATAATAATGGTGGGTTAAACCGGGGTAAACCTGTTTTTATAGCTAACTAAAACTCCCACTTGTATGACAGTTGTAAGTTTTTAAAAACATTTTATTAGAATAAAAGTCAGATTTTTTTTTATTCAAAGGAACATGTTACCTCCTTAAACAATATTTATGTACACGTATCTTCAATGACAAAAAATTTGAAGCAATTTCTAATTTATTGTCAAATTACGGGCGATTTATTTCTGATATCAACCCATTGTACGTGCTTTATTTATATTGCTACGTTTGTATGAAGTTAGAAACATGCATATTATTTTTTTTTTTTCTGTATTTATATTTAAATAAGCACAAATAAACAGATACCGATATTGGCTTAGACATGGGCAAAGGAGGTAAACTGGATCAGCAGTCAACAATTTATACTTTTGATGAAGTATCGAAGCATGACAAGAAAGACGACAGATGGCTTGTCATACAGGGTAACGTCTATGACATCACCGACTGGTCCAATCGACATCCTGGTGGTAGTAAGGTTATAGGTCATTATGCTGGTTAAGATGCCACAGTGAGTACTATTATCATTCGAGTTTTTTATCAGTAGATAGCGTGATTACAAATCTCCGAATGTTAGAAAAGATGTAACATAGAAGGTGTATTCCCTTTTAAACGATACACCATTCTCATTTACACCACACACTGTATTGGGAACTTTACAGGATCCAAGGACTGTACGATAAAGTCCCAACTATGTACTGGCTTCCGAAGCTACACAAATCACCTTACAAATACAGATTTATTTCGTCTTCAAGTCATTGTTCCACTACTAAATTGTCTATTCTACTTACTAGTACACTTGGTACAATCAAAAACCTGATAATAAATTGTTCAAATAAGGCCTTTAAAAATAGTGGAATTAACTACTTTTGGAGTGTCCAAAACTCGTTGGAAGTACTTAATAAATTACATGCATATATTGGTGATTTTGAATCTGTTCAAAGTTTTGATTTTTCTACCCTATATACCACTTTGCCTCATATTCTTATTCAGAAAAAATTCACACACCTAATTAAATGGGCATTTAAAAAGTCGGAATGCGAATACATATGTTCAAACTCTTTTAGGTAATTTTTTAGTAGCAACAAACAAAAGAGCTATGTCAATTGGACATGCTTTGATACTATACCTGCCCTTGAATTTTTACTTGATAACATTTTTGTTCGCTTTGGAGATTCCGTATATCGTCAAGTTATCGGAATTCCAATGGGGACTAACTGTGCACCACTTATTGCGGACCAATTTTTGTATTGTTATGAGTTACAATTTATGACTAAAATCAGCAAAGACCCATCGAGACAACATCTGATACAAAAATTTAACAATACTTTTAGATATTTGGATGATATATTGGCTATCAATAATGACGACTTCAGTATGTATACTAAAGAAATTTATCCTGTTGAACTTACTTTAGATAAAGCTAATACTAAAAATGACCACTGTCCTTTCCTCGATCTTGATATCTATATCATTAACGGGAAGCTTAATACAAAAATTTATGATAAAAAAAATGATTTTTCATTTCCTATCGTTAATTATCCATTTTTAGATGGTGACGTTCCCTTGTCACCATCTTATGGTGTTTATATATCTCAACTTGTACGATTCGCTCGTGTATGTAACAACATATTAGATTTTAGCGAGAGAAATTTATGTATTACTGAAAAATTATTACACCAGGGTTTTCGATATCATAAACTAGTCAAAACATTTACTAAATTTTATCATCGGTATAAGGACATCATTCGTAAATATAACTCAACATGCAGACATCTTATACGTTGGGGTATTTCACATCCAATCTTTTATGGTAATATTCTTTACAAAGCACAAATATGTCAGTATTCACCTCAAAAGCTAACAAAACCTTTAAACAGACTAATTAAGAAGGGTTATAGTTACGATACTGTTGTCAGGTCATTAAAGATTGCATATTTTGGCTTTAATATTGATTCACTTATAGGGTCTTTGCATCGGAATTAAACATATTTATTCTAAAACCAGTTGTTGGCATGACACGGGTTATGTTCTTCTCATATATTTTATGATGGTATAATACTAAACCCCTAACAGGAGGGACTGTGCCTGATATTCATATGATGAAGACATAATCTTTCAATTAGTTTAATTGAGGTCTGGAGCTGGCATGTCAGTAACTGCTGGTAGTCTGTTGTTATTTATGTATTATTGTCATTTTGTTTATTTTCTTTTGTTTCCTATTCTGACATCGGACTCGGACTTCTCTTAAACTGAGTTTTACTGTGCGTACTGTTGTACGTTTGTTTTTTCTACATTGGCTAGAGGTATAGGGGGAGGGTTGAGATCTCAAAAAACATGTTTAACCCCATCGCATTTTTGCGCCTGTCCCAAGTCAGGAGCCTCTGGCCTTTGTTAGTCTTGTATCATTTTTAATTTTAGTTTCTTGTGTATAATTTGGAGTTTAGTATGACGTCCATTATCACTGAACTGGTATACATATTTGTTTAGGGGCCAGCTGAAGGACGCCTCCGGGTGCGGGAATTTCTCGCTGCATTGAAGACCCATTGGTGGCCTTCGGCTGTTGTCTGCTCTATGGTCGGGTTGTTGTCTCTTTGACACATTCCCCATTTCCATTCTCAATTTTATTCTCATATTTTCAGAGACATCTTCTCCTCAATATTTGAGTGGTATTTCCTCTGTAACAGTTGAAAGAGGATCGCTTCTCCTAGAAAATAAAATATGGAATTTGTTTGCTGCCTTTAAGAGATAAGAAATTGAGTTTAGGCATATAACAAATGGGGAATGGTTTATATTCGACATGAACATTAAATCAAAATATTTGTGTTAGTTTGAATACGTATGATTTTTATTGTACTTTAAATTGAAGGACGCATTTGAAGCCTTCCACAATGATCTAGAGAGCGTAAAGAGATTTTTGAAACCATTACATCTGGGAACTGTTAAGGATACAAAGGACAAGAGTATTAAGGAAGATTTTAGAAAGTTACGATCAACTGCTGTACAAATGGTAAAATTGTGAAATCATATCTATTAGTGAAAGTGTCAGCCTTTTTATCATTGCACAGCTTAAGCTCTTTGGTTGGCTTTTGATCCAAAAAACACCTCAGTTTAGGATCAATAACTCTTTACTAAGTTTAGGGGTTCCTGTATAAGAACGTTCTTAATTGAGTACAATCTAGATTATTAACGTTTGTGACTACAATGACTGTTTCATACACATGTCCCGTTAAAATTCTTGCAAAGTTGTTTTGAATAATGAGGAATAACATAATGTACAAAACTTTAATCTATTATTAGTATTCATGTGCAATGCCATCACTAGAAAATCCGTAAATCCGTATTTTTGATGTTATAGGCCTTCTGAATTGCTTCAAGCCTTCATTAGTTATGGTAATTTGGTAAACCAAAATATTAACATGTAGAACAATAATTCATGGATGAGCACAAACAAAGCTTTATAACCTGTTTATGCAGTAATAACAAAAAAGGCAACAGTAGTAAACCACTGTTCAATAGTCATAAATCGATTAATCGAAAACAAATCCGGGTTACAAACTAAAACCGAGAGAAACACATCAACTATAAGAGGAAAACAACGGAACAACAGAAACAATGATCTGCAACAAAAACAAACACCAACATACATAGAAACGGACTGTTTGAAAACAACTGCCATATTCCTAACTTGGTACAGGACATTTTAAACAAAAATGGTGGGTTGAACCATTAATTACAAAATATATCTTATCATTAATAACCTGACGATTCTGACAGCTGGCTGGCTATCTAATAGCATATTACATCACATCAGCGTGTTCTTTCAAATAGATCCATTTGGAATATAGATATGACAAAGAAAAAAACACAGAGGAAGTCCACACGTCGTGAGAAGGAGTGCGTCGACATGGTAAACATAGTATGAGCAAACATACCGAACTCAAAGGTTTATTCTAAAAGGGGAAGTCCATAAAACATGACAATTTTAATCGCTTGACTATATCGACAGAACGAAATAATTTTCATTTTTGTCGAGCCTGCGACTTTTGTCGCAAAAGCGAGACATAGCGATCCTACATTCCGTCGTTGTCGTCGTCGGCGTCGGCGTCCACAAATATTCACTGTGTGGTTAATTTTGATAACTCTCAAACTATCCTGGATTTCTACCAAACTTGGACAGAAGCTTGTTTATGATCATCAGTAAATTTAAAAAAAAAATCCTGTTTATCCGTATTTTACTTATAAATGGACTTAGTTTTTCTGCCAGCTAACATTACATTCACTCTGTGGTTTAAGTTTTAAAAATTTAATTAACTTTCTTAAACTATCCTGGATTTGTACCAAACTTGGACAGAAGCTTGTTTATAATCAAGAGCTAGTATCTAAAAGGAAATTTTGTTAAAATTTATTTCCTGTTTTTCCGTAAATCACTTATAAATGGACTTAGTTTTTCTTCCAGTTCACATTACATACAGTCTGCAGTTAAAATTTTAAAAACATTTATTAGATTCATAAACCATCCCGGATTTTTACCAAACTTGGACAGAAGCTTCTTAAAATCAAAAGATAGTATCTAGAGGAAAATTTTTAATAATTTTTTCCCCATTTTTGTTGAGCCTGCGACTAACAGCAAAAGTAGGCGAGACGCTGGGTTCCGCGGAACCCTTACGAATTATTATTTTTTTATAATATTTTAGAGAGCAATAATGCAATTTTCCTAGGGGTTTCTTAGCAAAGAATAATATGCTAGTTACCATCATATAAAGGGTATCAAATTCGTTTATATCTATATTCATCTCTTATTTCAGGGTCTTTTCAAAGCGAACTTCCTGTATTTTGCTCTATATTTTCTTCATGTAGTTGTTTTTGAAATATTGGCATACCTCACGCTGTATTGGTTTGGTAGTGGCTGGATTCCTTTTCTAATTTCGTTACTTTTGTACGGAGCTTTTTAAGTAAGTACGGTTTCATACACAATGTATATTAATGTGCTACATCTGTAGTGCCGAGCAGGAAGGTGAACTGTGCTAAAGGCTGAAGTCAGAATAATATCCTCCTTACTGTAAACCAACTAATTCTTGCGAGCGATGTTTTAAGTATTTCCAAATGAAATGTTTGGTTCTTTTATGTTCATTTCATGTTTAGACAAGCTTTGAGGCACGATAATTCAATTGAGAAAGTTTCGTTGAAAATAAAAACAGAAACAGAAAATGTAGATAACAAGCTTTTTTTAAATGTATTAATGATAATGAAAATAGTCATAGTTATCATGATGTGAAGTTGAATTCCTTGTTGTACATTTTCAGTACAAGAATATTCCGTTATTGAAATATTATACTTATATTTTCAGGCTCAGAGTGCTTATTTGTCACATGATTTTGGCCATCTTGCCGTTTTTCACAACACAGCTTTGGATCGTTTCTTCGAGTATTATTTACTTGCATTTAACAAGGTAAAATAATGAATCGAAAAAAATACATACAATTAAGGAATGACTATAATATTTGTTCTGTCTATGAAGAAATAGGTAGCGTAGCGGGTTATTTAAAAGTGTGCACCACATTGTTTATGTTATTTTGAATAGACAGAAAAAATATCAAAGTCATTCCTTATAATTTAATTCTAAAAATGAGTAAATAATGATAAAAACGTTGATGACGTCGCGGTCACATGACAAAATTATGTCTATGAGCTGATAGACAAAACACTTTCAGCCAATCAGAAGACGTGTTATATCCAAAATTAAATTATTGTCAAATAACACACATAGTCTTGTAAATACATTAAACATCTCGATTATTTCTTTTTATGAAATTCACACACTGATTTATGAGGTCGATTGAGAAAATATGGATATCAAATATTCAATTTACTTTTTTATAATTAAACAGCTGAGGCATCCTGAGCACATTACTTATGACACAAATTTAAAAATACCAAAACTGTTTTCAAAATTATAGATAAACGATTCCTTATCATATATTAACAGGACAATTCTACTTATATCATGTATATATTGATATAAAAAAACATTCAATACAAAAAAACACGAATGGAAGGAATGGTTCAATAGGGAAATTAAGGAGATTACATTGGAGATAAGCAACTTTATGATATATCTTTATGAATTTTCATAAGCTGCATATTAGTACACGGAAGACTGTTTAACTTTCTCGTCCAGTTTAAATGATTTATAAGAAAATATTCAAGCATAGTCAGTTTTCGAATTATTAAAAAAATAGTTGAATGATTTGTGTAAATATTCTAAATAATTTTGTATAATTTAAACAATGCGTGTATTCTTTTCTTTTTAAAACATGAAGCACAGAGAAACTTTAATTTGAAATATAACTATAATGTAAATACAAGCATAGCATAAGTTATAAAATGGCAGACAAATTATACAAGGTATGTTAATATCGTGATTTTTACTATTTTATTTTTGCTTATCCATTTAAGGTAGCACACTACAAAGATTTTTTTACTTCCAATCTCCAACCTTTAAAATGATGTTACTTTCTTAAAAATGCATATAAATTAATAAAAGAGGTATATATAGATAGATAAAAGATTAATCTTTTAAATGAATGCAATATTTTTGTTATGCAATCATTATGTAATCAATTATCATGCAATTAATGGCAAAATCTTGGTCAGTTCACTTGAATGAATTTAGCTCTTTCATCTCAATAACTATACAGGAAATTTTAACGAAATCTTAATCAACACAGCAGGAGCTACAAAAGGGTGTCTCAAATTATTGCTATGGTATTCCATTCTCTCATAAATCTGTAATTAGTGTAAACATCCTTACCACATAAAAGTAGATAATGTTTGATTAGGTGTAAAATTTTATCTATACATTCTATCCGAAATCTGAGACACCCTTTTGTAGATAATGGCTCTAGGAACAACATATGATAAAATCAACTTTCTAGGGGGTTACCATGAAGAAGCTAATTTCAATTGAAAGTGGAAATTTCTTGTAAAATTTTGTAGACACAGTTAACATTATAACTGATTACATAATTGTTGTATAATACTAACATTGCATTAATTTGAAAGAGTAATCTGTTAGCTATCCATAAATACCACTTTTATAAATTTTCAAGCATTATAAAGAAAGTTACAGCATTTTGAAACTGGGGAATTGGAGGTATAAAATCTTTGTATTGTGCTACCTTAATGCTGGTGATAAATTTAATAATATATTGGTAAGGGTATTCTGTGGCATTTATTTTTTTCTATTCATGTAGTGGACGCCAGCGTAGTGCTTATATTATGTAATTGTTTTAATTAGATTTCTATTTTACATAATGTGTATTATTTGTTATCCTATTACTTAACACACTATGCAACTGTTTTTTTTTCTCTTTCAGGGAGCTTCTCCGCACTGGTGGAATCACATGCATTTTCAGCACCATGCAAAACCAAATGTGGTAAGTAGAAATAAGAAGATGTGGTATGAGTGCCAATGAGACAACTCTCCATCCAAGTCACAATGTGTAAAAAACATTGCAATAATTTGCATAAGTACAAGTAGTACAGATAGGGAAAGTCGCAACAATATGAATAAGTACAAGTAGTACAGATATGGAGTGTTGCAATCATTCAAACAGTCTGTATAAAATTATTTTTACCATGATGTTACTTACAAGGCTCGTATATTAAAATACGATCCATGTAAACGAGTTTGTCGTTCATATAAACTTATTCTGAAAGGCTATCAACATTGTAGTATGATTTATGAGTACAGCCTTTATCGGCACAAACATTGATTTTCTTTTGAAAACTTTAATACATAATGAAACATAAATAGTTTTCCAACTGCCAACACTTAAGTTACTGCATCTTGTCGACTATTGAGAAGTTGCATTAACTCCAATCATTGAACAAATATGTTCGTCGATAGGGCTAGAACTTCCTGCCTGAAAAATTATAATGAATGCAAGCAAAAACACTAAAAACAAATAAATACTTAGTAGAATAAAATAACCGATACAAACAAATTAAAACAGCAAAGATAAGTGTACAAAGGAGTAAACTTGAAATCAATCGGCCGTTAGATTTAAGCATAACTATCTTCTGCAAGTAATTCAAAAATTGTGATAGGAAACACGAGCAGTGCTCTTAGATGAATCAATCACCCTGATTTATCATTGTTACTGTACGTATTTTCAGATGGGAAAGGACCCCGATGTTAGACTCGACAAGTTTCTTGTTGTAGGACAAGTTATGCCAGTTGAGGTAAGTATTCATAGCAGAGTTTCCAAGACTTTGGAAAGTTTTGTGGTTGTGAATAAGATAAAATATCTTAGCCAGTTTTCAAACACGCTCCCAACAAATGTAGCCATTTTATTTTATATGAATTCAAGGTGATGTTAGTAAACGTCAATACGACAGCAAAACACTATCAAATATGGTCAAAGAGGTCAATATTTTGTTTAAGGTGTCTAGACAAAATCTAGTCTAAATCGCACCGAGTCTTATTTATGTTGTGAATCAGAAATTAGCAGATATCTAAACAGCTCATTTTCAAAATAACAAAAACTTTGTTATATTTCATAAGTCAAACACTGATGCAGACACATGTACATATTGTAAGGTTCGAATAGTTTTTAGGGATCACACTTTATCCATTTTATAATATTGGTCCGTGGACCTAACAAAAATAACATAATTTACAATTAGATTCAGTAAAGAAGAAAGTACTTTTCTATAATACACCTGTAAAACAGATAATAGATAACAAACAAACAAACATTACGATACAAACAATATCGTTTCAAAATATATTCACAGATAATAAAGACACGGAGAAATTGCGTAAACCGTAAAACAACTTATTTTCGGGGATACTTCATTTCGCCTTCAGCCTTTTTCTCATCTTTTTCGGAGCAATTTAATTTCGTGATTTTCAAATCTAACTGATGTAGTTAAAACAGAAACGTCCCAGGTTTTACAAACTAAGTATTCGCGACGATTTATTTTCGCGTTATTTTTCTACCCACGAAAGTCGCGAAAATTGTTTCGTTTACTGTATTGGTATAAGACACCATGCCATCCTTCACTTTTCAGTATAACCGAAAAAGAAATTGATGGATTTGCTTGATGTTATCAAATATTGCATTTAAAATTGTTAAAGAATGTTTGGGGTAAATAATGCTTCACATAATTACAAGATGGAGTCGATTGACAGGGGCACCACAATTCGCATTTCACCAAACTCAACTGATATGTAGTCAATGGAAACGTGGAACATATTTGATAAATTTTATTTCCGAATCGGTATATGTGTTATAAGAACAATTTTGAAGAAAGTTATAGTATGTTTTAGACAAAGTACAAAATCCTGTCGGTAAAATAATCAGATTCTGGAACAGTGTTAAAGTATTCTCCTACGCGGCGTTTTACTTATACAGAGTAATAGTATTGTGCTGTTTCGGAGTTTGTTCAGCCGTGTATGACATGCCATTTTTGCTATTTAGGTTGCTCAGTCGAAGAAAAGTTCTCTCCCATTTAATCTACAAGACAAGTATTTCCCGCTGTGTAAGTAGTATGATAACAATTTAGAGTCAATTCACTTTGACAAACTATATGCATTATGAACTGTATAGTTCAAACGGTTCTGATTATATAAGATGTATTTTGCATAACATCTGAGAACAAAGTATTTGAATGTCAGAAATTGTGGTAATGATGAACGGGATTATGTTGTTATGTCAAAATAGTACTTAGGAAACACATTTAGCATGGTTACTTATAGGCAGCACAAATTATTAATTTGTTTTAAATTGATTTACGTAAACGTCTCGGACGAATCATGAATGTTATTCCTTATGTTAGAATTGGGGACTATTTCAAATTTGAGCGTTATGGAATATCTGTGTCATGATGACCATGAATACGTTCAAATTGTCGTAATTGCAATCCCATCTCTTTTCCTCGGTTGTCATATCAACGAACGAGACTCATCGTACTTACAATGAACACGAAGGTTGCTACTAGTTATGCAGGATCTGCTTACTCTTCCGGGTAACTTGATTTCATCCTAAGTTTTGTTTAAAAGGGGTCCGTGTTGATCATACTTTAGCCTTTGGTGTAGTTCAATGTCATGTATATCTTTTGTTCTGCAAACCTTGTTTTAATTTCAAAATTTCAACATTTGGTCAAAATTTAGGGTTAGCCAATTTACATGACAGATGGTTTACGAATTTGGAAATGTCTTAGGGTTAAACCAGAGTAAATTAACAATCACCTATTGTGTCATGCCTAATCTAGTGATAATTTAAGGAGAAACACGACGGGTACCACTAGTGAACCGCATCTGTAAACCCTCCTGGAGCACTTGAGATCAACCTCTGTTTTGGTGGGGGTTGTGTCGCTCTGTCTTTAGTTTCCTATGTAGTGTTTTGTAAACGTGTGTCTTTTCGTCGAATATCGTTTTCTTGCCATGGCGTTGTATGTTTCTCTCGACTTATGAGTTTGAATGTCCCAATGGTATCTTCATTTTTTAAATGTTTTTTTCTGTGTATATACGAATATAGCTAACCGTTAACAGTAACTGATATAAGTAAGCCTTTCGTTGATCAATATTCACACATCATGAAACACAACGTTGTTTCCAACTTGTTCTGGAAGTTGGTAATAACTTTCAGGCATCTTCCATCTATTTTTTAATCGTTGAAAAATCAGCATATACAGTACACAGACAAATGAGACCCAATTTTGTAAGTTTGAATCCGATAAAAGGGGAATAACTTCAAATATGAAAAAAAAGTTTGCATAAAAAGTCAAGACATTGCTGTATAAAACGTCTTTATTATTGAAGACAATACATATCTTTTCTTGTTAACATCTATACCCAATTTCTTTGCTTTACAGTTGGTCCAACTCTGCTGTTTCCAATATATTTCCACTATACATGTTATAAACATGTTTTCACTAGAAAGTTATGGGTGGTAAGTATAAACAATATCTAGCAGTCTGAGAACATAATATAGGTAGTAATAGAGATTTCCAATAAAATGACTTTACTCGACATAACCGACCTAACTCAGCGTATGTCGTCCTATTGCATCGAAGCATGACGGAGGGGAGCATACACTGCATGCATTTTTTGCTCTTTGAACACGCATTTTTTTCTGATATAGACTTAATGTAAAAATCAACCCCAACTACTTTTTTTAATCTTTAAATATTTTGTTATTAAATTTTTAATGATCTTATTGACAAAAATATTTTAATTGAAAAAGTAAGCTAGTAACTTGTAATCAAATACACCCATCATTTCTTGTCATTTCACTTGACCCATATTTCAGTTCTTCTCAACATATGAATTTTAAAAACTACCAAGTAAACATTTAGCATGAAAATATTAAAATAATGAAATCCGAAGCGAGAAGGTTATCTCTTTTTTTGTTTTTATAAGTTTTAACGTTTAAAAAGTGGATTCAAACACACTCGAATGTAAAAGGTGTACGCGACTAACTTTAAAAAAAAAATCTATAATTTAATTCAAGATTATTTGACGTGGGCAGAAATTCATATCATTGATACATTTGTCAAAAAGTACTTTTTTTAGTCTTTAACTATAATAACGCATGGGACGAGGTTTTGATCATGTATACCTACACGTGCATTCGCAGATACAGGGGTAGAGGGCGTACTCCCCCTTTCGATCGCCAAGTAATTTTGAACATCTCACATTTTCCACGTTATCTCTACAAATGTTTAGTATAAAATCGTCCAATATTTTTTCGCGTTGCTTCACTCGGCAGTATAAATTCAATTATCGGGAACTACGCCCTCTTTCAAATACCTTGGATCCGGCCATAATCACAAATTGTATAGCACAAAAAAAAATAAATGATTGTCGTTTGACTTTGATTAATACGTTTTAAAAACAACAATGTTTGAACATTAGACATCTCGCATGAGATTAAAAAGTTTTTAGACTACAAACTGAATTGGATTTTCCCTGGATTTAGAGCTCACTTAACACGAAAATGTGATACTGGCTTGTAATCTAATGGACACATATTCTTGTTTCTGATGTTTCTTTTAATATAAGTATTCATTTATTTAGTTATATATAATCCCACTAACAAATAATCATGTATCTTTTACTGATAAATTATCATTACATTTTATAGAAACTACATATAATCTGCTATACAGTTATGAACACTAATGGTTCTACAGACACTCTGTGCTTTTGACATGACACAATGTCTTGCTCTTCTAGAGTGTTTATGTACTTTTTTACTTAATTTGTGATATGTACAACAAAGAAGATGTAGTATGATTACCAATGAGACAACTCTTTACAAGAGACCAAATGACACAGAAATTAACAACTATAGGCCACCGAACGACCTTCAACAATGAACAAAGCCTAAACCGAACAGTCAGCTATAAGAGACCACAAAATGACAAATGTAAAACAACAAAAACGATAAAACTAACGGCCTTATTAATGTACGAAAAAATGAACGAAAGCACAGCAACAAATGATAACCACTGAATTACAGGCTCCTCACTTGGGACAGTCACCGCCATACATATTGTGGCGGAGTTAAACGTGTTAACAGGCCCACTTACCTGGGACAGTGGTGTAACAGTACGAAATAATTGATTAATATTCTAGACTGGATAATTATTCTGTATTTATTTAGTTGTAGTTGTTTTTAAGATAGTGTTCAGTAGTTGTGAATACTCTAAGATCGGTACATGGAGTTTATTTTGAAATACTAGTAATTGCTGTTTTTGTGCTTCGTTTTAGTCGGACGAGTCAATACCTTTCTTACTGTTTTAATTATGAGTAGACATGATCATTTGATAAACATACTTCTATGATCTCTATTGGCTTTAACTTGGACATTTATAAAAATTATGATTCAAAGAGATGCATGCATAAAATAAGTTCTCGACATAAATTGGCTAAAATATCAGATAAGAATTTAGCCTCAAGCTATAAAACTTACAAGCTATAATAAATACGACGAAGATTTAGCCTCAAGCTATAATACTTATGATGATGATGATACTGATGTATGTCTTGTATCCAGCGACAAATATTACATATATATTAAGGATGATGAAATGATAGCGATTCGCTGGATCGAATTGTCCAACAAAATAATTGAACCCGTAATCGAGGCTGGCCTGCTACACGTCAATTCCAAAACCTGTTTATATATTTTATGCTTTAAGTGCATATATTATTATTCTAGCAACACTTGTTTTGTTTTGATATCACTTTTTGTTGCATAATTTGTTTGATTTTTCTCCTTGTTTCTTTGTATCAAAAAGCTTAGTTTTTATTGTAAAATGGTGTTTCAAAGCTTCCATTATCCCTGTGACTTGCTATTGTACTAATATCCAGTAGGCATGCAATCATTATTCTAAATAGTAAAAAATATTTTTAACAAGTAAAGATTACCCCGTTTTGATCCAGACTTCCTTACCACTAGCATCTAAGATACATGCACTGACAAAATATTGTACCCGCACTCATATTACAATCACCCTGTCTGTCCGTCCGCCAGTCTGTCCGTTCAACAAATATTTTCAATTTTCTCTTCAAAAGCATAAGTATGCTTAGCATGCATTCTTTTTTCGATTTATTCCTTACACTCCTGGGGTCAAACTATCAAACAGAGTCCAAATGGTGTGAATTGCGACTACAGTGGCTCGTGCTGTCGTCAACAATAAGCAAATACTTATACCGTATTATCAGATACTAGTATATAAGGCATTGACTTTGAAAATGTAAACTTTTCAAACGAAAATAAACATTTTTACAAGAGTAAAATTAACACAAAAATGACAGAAAGTAACCAACAACATCCTCTGAATTGAAAGCATCTGACTTGGGAAAGCTAATATAGAATTTGGCCTGATTAAACACTCTGGTGTAACAGCACAATATAAGAAAACAAACCCTGTAAAATTCAGTTGGGAATAGCTCAACTAATCAATATTGAATTAAGCCCAAAACAATTACATTTTTATGATGAAAGACACAGAGTACCCGTCTTAAAGTACCCCCAGGTACTGAAAGCTGATTCTTAAATGTTAAATTACCTGAGAATATTAAACGTATTTAGTTAAAAAGAACAACAACAACAAATAAGGAGATATGGTATGATTGTCAATAAGAAATGAAGTTGATGTAAGCAATGATAGGCAACCGTACGGCCTTCATCAATGAGAAAAATCCATACCGTATAGTCGACTATAAAAGGAACCAACTTGAAAAATATAGAACAATTCAATTGAGAAACTACCGGCCTGATTTAAAACAAAACAAGTTACGAAAACAGATATAACAGATATGAACCAACGACAACAAGTGAACCATAGGCTCCTGAAATGGGGCAGGCACATACAGAATAAGTGCTAAACCCCCACCCCCTAAGCCTGGGACAGTGGTGCAACAGCACGACACAAGAACAACCTGTAAAAACCTTCCTTCAGAGAGCTTGGTTAACACATATATACATATTCAAAGTAATTATTGATATAAAATGTGTTTTCAGCCGTGTTTCACCTTCAATGGAGATCCTATGCCGTAGAGTTTAACTTTTGTATATATAAATATATACCTCTAATGCGAGACAAAACTTGAAACTAAAAAGTTTTGCTTAACTCAATCAATATGTGATAGTTTTAGAATCCACTTCTAATCGGATTAGTAAGAGTTGTCTTAATCCAAAAACAACTATGACAATATCAAGTCTTACTTATTAAAAGTACATTTTAAAAAGAAAATTACTGTAAAGACTGAAGTGGAGTTGTCTTAAAAGTGTAACAAGTATATAAATTGGCATTCTCGTCCACTTTTAATCAGAGATACCTGGGACATGACATTTATTTAGCCAATTACTATGAACTATTAATTGATATTTTACTATCCACAGCGGTCAATGTTTATATGCAGATTAGTCATCAATTGCTAATCAAGTACACCTTCCAAATTACAATCTATATAACGAATTGGTGTACACATTTATTTACATATATCATTATTAATTACAAAATTCTTTTTTTTAATGTTTGTTGACTTTTATTTGAAAGAAAAGTGTATGTCAACTATTAAAATTTAAAGAAGTACAAGACCTGTATTAATTATTTTTAAATATACACATCCCTTTGTCGAACGTTTTCCCTTGGGAAAAAATCGGAGCCAAGATTAACTGCATAAGAAGAGATCGTTTGAAATGATGCTTAATAAAGTATGATGCAATCCCAGTAATTAACTTTAACAGAGAGAAATTCTGACTAACACTTTGAATTCGATATTTTTGAAATTGCTATAAAAATCTCTGTCATATAATAAATACCCAAGGAAATCAAATATTATAAAACATTAAGAGACGAAAGGAAAAGGGACACCAATCTGATAACGACAAATAAAAGCATGTCAAATATTAAATAATAAAAGTCATGGTCAAAACCAGGAAAGACAACTCAAATCAATCGTATGATAGGTAAAGATACGTGTATACGTGGTCTTATGACAGTGAAGTTTTGGCGGGAATCTCAATAATCACGTGATATATAAAAATCATGATTTCTTTCGTTTTTCATCATCTTAGAAATACTTGATATTGTTAAAATTTATCCTGAATGGGTTTTATAGTTTAGGAATACTTAGTTAAAACTTGAATGACGCATTTAACAAAATTAATAGGTTAGCAATAACCGGTCCCGTTACGTGCGTACGTCGAGTTAGGTACGTATGTCATTTTATTGGAAATCTCTATTAAGTATCTTTAAAACGATCGCAAATCAAAACATGACACGTGCGACAATTTTGGTATCCAACAGATGTCTTACATGATTTACAAACTTATTAATAACAAAAACGTTAAATCCAGTATGTCTGAAGATAAGAATTTAACTACTAGTATTCTTCTGTTTCAATTTAGTTCCTCATTTATTTTTTATTTACAGACGAATCATTTAATTTTTTTATGACACTTTGCAATCACAAGAGACAATCCTTAACATCTGGTAGCTGAACGGTAACTTCCTTTTATTCTATAGACATTCATTGTTTTAGCTGACTATTGTTTGTTTCAGGATCTTGCCGTTATGATTATCTACAATATAAAGTTTTTGTTCCTTTTCGTACCAATGTTAGGATGGGGCTGGACACTTGTGTACTATGAAGCTTTTAGGTAAGTCAGTACCCAATACAGCTGACTGTAAGTTAATAAAACACTTAGTAAATAACAAGAAACAGTAGTTAAACGATGTAAAAATAACTCATGAAAGATACCCGGCTAATAATTTGGTACACCAGACGCGCTTTTCGTCCACATAAGATTCATCAGAACGCCAAATCGAATACAAAGTCGAAGAATATTAAAAACCGAACAATTCCGAAAAGTTGTGTCAAATACAGATCAGGAAATTTATGACTAGGGTAGAAAAACTTTATTGTTTTGAATAATTTAACATTTGATAAACAGAAATGTACAGAAAATGAACATATTAATGGTATTTTTTGTCAACACAGAAGTGCTGACTACTGGGCTGGTGATACCCTCCGGGACGGAACAACCATCAACAATGGCATCAATCCTGTGATTGTAAAACCTTATCAAAGATACCAGGCTTATAATCTGGTACCTTAGACATGCGTTTCGTCTGCATAAGACTCATCACTCGAATCAACATAGTCTGTAAGCTAAAACAAATACGAAATTGAAGATCATTAAAAACTAAAACTTCGAAAAGTTCTGCCAAATACAGCTAAAGTAATCTATGCCTTGGGAGAAAAAAAACTCAGTATTCCGAATGAATCAACATTTTATAAACAATAAAGTTATGGAAAATGAACATATCAAGTATATTTCATGTCAACACAAAAGTGCTGACTACTGGGCTTAAGGACGAAAGATCCACATTCAAAACTCGAAAATGCATATTGATTATTGATTATACATAACCATGATAACAAGAATGAGTCTCTGTTTGTAACATCGTTAAAATAAATCAATGTATACCAGAAGCATATTGTTAAGGATAAATTGCGATATAAGATTATTACAGAAGTTGAGTACGCATATCTTCGAAAAAAAAAAGGAAAAAAAAAACAAGAAAAAATCAAACAAGATACCTTCTGAATGACTTAATGAAAATGAAATGCTTCAATGTGTCATGATTTCATCAAGGGTAAGCAAATCCGTTATAAATAATACATGTGTGTCGAAAATGTTTTGTTTTATTTTTATATTTATATTTTGTTCATGTACCATATCTTCATATACTTATAGCATTTATTTTTAAGCTGTTATTTTGGTGTGTAATATCTGTGTACCAACTTCAAATTTCCAACAATAACATTTATTTCTAATTTTGAAAAAATGTATTAAAGCTCCAATTTATCTATCAAAATAACATGCTGTTTAAATAATTATCTTGTCTGTATTTATATTCAAGCTTCTTCTATACAACAATGAAATTATTGTAGGGTAATAGATTCAATGTGGTTTGCCTGGGTAACTCAGTCTAACCATATTCCGATGAATATTGACCATGATGACAACAAACCCTGGCTAAAGCTGCAATTGTTTGCCACATGTGATGTTGAACAATCATTGTTCAATGACTGGTTTACTGGACGATTAAACTTCCAGATAGAGCACCAGTGAGTAACTATATCGACGTTAATTTCACTCCAATTTTACTATATTGTGTTAATTTCTTCAATTTAGTTTACTTGTAGTCAGAGCATTCGTAATTTATCCTAATTTTGTAAAATGGAAATTATATTGCAAGAAAAGCTGACAGTAATTTCGAAAAGCTGCATATATTTTACTTTCAACTAATTTTAAAAGAAGATGTGGTATGATTGCCAATACGACAACTTTCTACCGGAGTCCAAAATGACGTAGAAGTAAGCACCTATAGATTGTCAGTACAATGTAAATTTCTGGCTTTCAATGTTTAGGTTTTCGACATTCATGATGAATGTAAATCGAGAAAATCGCTTCTGACGCACGAAATCTATACAGTATTATTTCCATTTAGATCTTATTTCTGCTATTTAGAAATAAGAAGATGTGGTATGAGTGCCAATGAGACAACTCTCCATCCAAGTCACAATGTGTAAAAAGTAAACAATTAAAGGTCAAAGTACGGCATTCAACACGGAGCCTTGGCTCACACCGAACAGCAAGCTACAAAGGGCCCCAAAATGACTAGTGTAAAACAATTCAAACAGGAAAACCAACGGTCTAATCTTTATAAAAAGCGAGAAACGAGAAACACTTATGAACCACATCAACAAACGACAACCACTGAATAACAGGCTCCTATGTATGGTTAAACAGATATGCTTTTATAATAATTCGACTATCGCCATGAAAATTATATCCTATTTTGTTCTCGACAGTTTATTTCCTACCATGCCTCAGCACAACCTATACAAGGTGCGTCCCCTGGTTCAATCACTGTGCAAGAAGCATGGGATACCGTTCCAAATTAAATCTCTGCAAAGAGCATTTGGTGATATCCTGAGGTAAGTATAGAAGACAGAAGGCTTATCAGTGTTTTAATTATAAGAAGTTAAGAGATGTTGACCGTAAGGTTACAATATTGCAGTTAATATTCCTTACAACAGAAATTCATAGTCTTATTCATTTTCTCACAGCAGTATTTCTTACAATTATTTTCAGAGCTTGATTGATTGTTGTTTGCCAAACGTCTAGTCCCGAATGTGAGTGAAAGTGTTTTCTCAAGCTATAAACCAGGTTTGACCAACCATTTTTTCTGAAAATGCATGTACCAAGTTAGGAATATGACAGCTGTTTTCCATTCGTTCCGTTAATTAATAAAGTCTAACGTTTGATTTTGTCAGTTTTTATGGACTTCCCCTTTTTTGAATATACCTTGGAGTTTGGTATTTTAGCTATACTATTTTCAATGAGGAGAGATTTGCAATACATGTACATACAATCCAAACATTTACCCGGTTTCTGTTTACATGGATTCCTTTTCTTTAGAGCTAGTACTCGAGTATCTCTCGGTTTACTTGTCATTTTATATTTCAAAATATTGACATCCCCGCAAAATAAACTTCGTAACTACAATCCCGTTCTCCTTTCCCCGAATGTGACCTACCGAATTAAACTTATCATCGGATTTGTACTTACATGAGCAGCACGAAGGGTGCCACATTTGGAACAGAATCTGATTACCTTTTCGAAGCACACGAGATCAACCCAGGTTTTTTGGTGGGGTTTTGGTTGCTCAGTCTTTAGTTTTCTATGATGTGTTTTGTGTACTGTTGTTTTTGTGGTCCTTTTTCGTTTTGCCATTGCGTTGTCAGTTTATTTTCATCCCTCTTTAAGTTACAGGATGGGAATATCGACTGGCGTTGTGTTTATTATTCTGATCATGATTTGATAGACAGTTGCTGCGTAAAAGGATGCTATTGGAAAAAACTGTTCCACATTATATCAAGGGGACATTCAAAATTCATAAGTCGAAGAAAAAATGACGAAAAAGAGACGAAAAGACCAATTAATCATCAAACCACTACATACAAATTAAGGATTAGGCAACAAGAAACTTAAATATCCTTATTGTACTGCTTTGAACCCTTCGTTTTTCTAAAGCAGATTCAAAAAACATTTTTTTCAAACTGAGATTTAATCAAAACGTTTGACCCGGAATGTCATGAAATTACAAAACAGTCAGCAGAGATACGAACCTTGGAGCTATTTTTGATCTATCAATGTGGTAATCTTTTCATATGGTACCCTCGTTACGTAAAACATAACACCGTAAAGCGACTTTAAGGAATTGTTTAAAGTCTTCGTAAGTCGACCTCTTACTGTTAATATATCATGCATATTTTCACGGTAGGTATAGTGTCCGGCTGGAATCGTGTTTTTTTTAAATTTGATCGGGTTTTTTTTTAGTGTGACCACGTTTTTTCGAGGGAATATGATAAAAAATGTAAACAAACAGACTTCTTTTTTTTCTAAGACGTAAAATAGATGCTTAAACCTAATATACAAGATCATACTAGGTAAGTTAGTATTGAGATGAAAAGAAATCATCACCCGTACATTATTTTGTGTTCTAAAAGTTTAATTTAGCTTTACACTGCTTTTATTCCAAAATATAGAATAAAGCTATGTGTATACAAGTACCAATGCAAATATAAAATGAAATGTATATTTGAAATCAATATATCCTTAGATATACAGACACTTTATAAAAATTCTTGTTATTGCATTGCGAAGGACATTTTTAGAATAAATTATTTTTTATATGTCCGTGTTTTTTCGAGAGCAGTCCAGGTTTTTTGAGTGCGGTCCAGGTTTTGATCGAGTAATTAAACAAAACTTAAAATGTTATATGTCAGTGCGATTACGTTTAAAAAACAATGAAAAGGTTCAAATAAATTACTTTTCAAAGCACGAAACCAATGCATTTAACCAGTTTGATAATACAGTAGTACATTCGTAAAAAGCATCGTATATTTGTATATTATTTGTCTGCCCAATCTTATAAACTGCATGGACACCGGCATTGGTATATTTGGATACATCAAACATGTCCACGATCATGTAAATATGGTGGAACTATCCAACAAGTAAACGCTCAGGTACACGTTGTATCGATCCAAATTATACGTATATCGATGTCGATGGAACCAAATATGAATATCATACAGTAAATATTCGTGTTGTAAACATTATTAATGTGAGCACAGACATATATAGAAATGTGGTATGAATGCCAATGAGACAACTATCCTCAAGAGTTCAAATGACGAAGAGAAAAGTAGATATAGGTCACTGTACGGCCTTCAACATCGAGAAAAACCTGTACTTTATAGTCAGATATAACACTCCAACATGAAAAATTTGAAACAATTAAAAGAGAAAACTAACAACTTAAGTTATACAATACAAAGTACGAAAGTTGAACAACACGAACCTTTTGTGATCTTAGCCACTTAGGAAGGATCTCAGCTTTTGCTCTACTAAGGACAGCTTAATATGATAGCCTATTAGTATCTGTCGGCATTTTCTAAAAGCGATCTCAATTCTCATCAGAATGATGTTATATCTGAATTATTTCAACCACCTTCATAAAGATACTTTTTTGTAGGAGTCTAAAGAACTCAGGAGAGTTATGGAGTGCCGCATACCATGCCCACCATTTGTCATAGGAACTTAAATAATACAACAAAGATAAACAACAGACACCATATGTTATATATATAAAAAAATGTACTATCTATCCAAGCAGTCTGTTTTGTAATCATATTCTGCAATGTATCAATCTATTTTAGGGCTGTTTATTTTCTTAAAATAATCAACTGATGGTTGTCTATTAAACTGCTGTATATGTTTTGCCTATATATTATATTATGCATAAAATTATAGCTTACTGTTATGTTCATGTGCAAATAAAAAGAAATTCACTATAAAAATAAAAAATACTATTCAAGTTTATTTAAGTAGTGCTTCTAGGATCAAGTGATTTTTATTTTGTTTTCTTAATTATACTATCGGATGCAGTCTGATCGAAGCCTGTTATATAATCAGACTAATACCAATTGCAGATTGCATCTAAAAATTAGAATCATATCAATACAAAAAGAAAACAACACGTTATAAATTTCATGCGTCCAAAGCTCTTTTCTGGATTTACCTTCATCAGGAAGGCTCAAAGCCGAATATTTGAAAGCCAAGGATGTATAAGAACCAAAACAGGCGAAGAATTATACAATGCATTGTAATTTATTTATACTATCTGTAATGTAATACAAGGATTTTTTCAGTAATTTGTATTATTCTTTGTTACATTTAGCTTGTTTTTTAGAATAAAGAAATATTTTATTTCATTAAACGTGTTTATACTGTTCTAGGATTATCGTTAAATATCTCGTAGCTAGTCTTTTTGCGTAAATTCTTCCGATATCTATTTTTTTAGTAATGAATTTAAGGCCTGGTGTCTTTTTGAGTTTATACATCCACTACGTGTTGCAACGACCAAGTTGGTCTTCCCAGTTCAGAAGTCAGCACTCATGTGCTGATAAGAAATATCATTGATACCTTCATTTTATGCAAAATTTTCTTTGAATAGTGTGTCAATGTAAGGTGACATTCCTTTCTGTAGACTGTTAGCTATCAAGTTAAAAATCTGACTTAGCGGTTGCTTCGGTACAAAACAGAATGAAATTACACTTGTATTCGTTCTCAATATTCTTGTAATATTTACCGCTGGATATTTAGCAATCATCTAATTTTGGTTTAATATAATATATATATAAAATAATATGTATGAGAACTTTTACAAAAGTCACTTATAGATGCATCACAGCAGCACAATAAAACCAAAAATATTTCCATATTACTAGTAAGCTAGTTCTCCCTAGGGACATGTTTGATAAGTTTATTGATAATTATAACAGTTTACCAGGATGTACCAGATAGTGTGCGATTGTGTTTCCCCTGTCTGATGAAAAAGAAGGGCAATTCATCTAAAGTTAACTTTTTCTGAGGCAGTTGGAACTTTATATATGATCTATTTTATATGTCATGTGTTATCCAGATACAAGTGTCATAAGCTCTTTGGAAGCAGCAGATGTTTATTTAATGTGTCCTGTGTCCTTCTGAAGCTAAAATTTAAAGATACAATATGTTCCTGAGTATTTCGTGTATTCTTTGGCTCTTGGTATTCATTGTTGGTATAATTGTTCTTTCAGTGACTGTACAAGTAACACTTTTGGCTAACAAATGTTAATCAAGGATGTTTCATTTTTTGGTTTCTCTGAACCTTTTTCATTCCTATAAGAATAACAACACCTTTAAAATAAATAGATTCCTTTATTTACAAAGATTTAGACTAAAAACAAAAAACAAATAGCAATTCTTCTACTCAAAGAACCTTGAAACCAGTTATTTATCCAGTAAAACAATCATTAAGAGTTTAAATACTTTTAATCATACATTCCATTTTGGTGATTTAGATAGTCAATACAAAGGTTGTTACTCACAACTTCAAAACTTTGCATAACAAATTATCAAAAATTGATGATCAACTTTTGTAAACTACTTTTTCTGTAATAATTTTTACCTGATTGGGGTTCAATAATACATAAGTAAAGAATGGTCTATAAAAGTAATAAGTAATACCATTTACCTTTTCTAGTACAAATTATGATTTTTGCCACTTGAATATTTAGAGGCTCAAGCTAGCCCAGTCAGGTAAAAATAATGGTGTAACATTTAAATGGTTTAAACTAGATGAAAAAAAATCATAAAAATTTAATAACTACATTCTAATGTACAATAATATTGCAGAAAAAAAGAATGTGTCATACTTTTTACCACCATGGTTATTATCAGCAGCACTTATATCAAAATAAAGGGTTATATACCTTTAATGTCATGGAAAACTCGGAAAATTGTTTACAACCTGTTCACTTAAAATTCCAAAATAAGATCTAAAGGTAATTTTATAAGCTTTCATTTTCTTATGAAAGCCATGTCGTCCATTAAATGTAACTTGAAGATATACATGTATAATCAACGAAATATAGACAAAGATAACAATTTGCTTAAAAAAGCATCATTTACAGCAACAAACAAGAATGTGTCCATAGTACACGAATGCCCCACTCACACTATCATTTTCTATGCTCAGTCGAACCGTGAAATTGGGGTCAAAACTCTAATTTGGTATTAAAATTAGAAAGATCATATCATAGGGAAAATGTGTACTAAGTTTCAAGTTGATTGGACTTCAACTTCATCAAAAACTACCTTGACCAAAAACTTTAACCTGAAGCAGGACAGACGGACAGACTGACGAACAAACGGATGCACAGACCAAATCATAATGCCCCTAGGTGGGGCATATAAAGAACAATCATTTAAAGACAGCAATTCTCAATATTCAAATCATTTATTATATTTTTGCCATTTTGGGTCATTTAAACCTAGGAATAAATTGCTTCGCTGAGCGCAGCAGGATAAGACCGCAGAGGTCCAACCCTGAACAGTTGGGGCAAAAATGGACACAATAATCGTGTTTGATACAGGTCTGAATTCGGAAATTTGTAATTAAATATTTGACACATAAAAGGTTTCTGACACAGAATAACTGTAGTCAAAGAACTTAGAATTGGTTATATAATGTGAATTTTAAAATCAATTTTTTGCTTTTGTGCAATACACTTTGCTGTTGCAAATTGACCCCCCCCCTTTTTTTTGCTTTTGTGCAATACACTATGCTGTTGTGTATTGACCCCCCCCTCCCCCACACTTTTTTTTTGCAAAAAAAATAATATTTGAGAATTTTTCTTTTTAATTTCTGAAATCTGAAATGAGAAAAAATTGACCCCCACAATTTCTTTTTAACCCCCCCCCCCCCCCCCCCTTTTTCCCCCCAAAAAAAAATTCTTACCTTCAAAAGATATGGTCATAATCTCAATTCAAATTTCCAATGGAGTTTGCAACCATAATTACCCATTTAAATTTACCATAGTGCTAACTTAATCTATTTTATAATAGAATTTAAAATATGGTGTCAAATCTTTCATATGGATTTTTTTGTAAAAAAAAAAGATGCAACATTTGCCAGATATTTTTACTGGTCTTTCTTTATAAATATGCATTTTCTTCTAAAATTTAAAGAAAGTGTAAGGGAGGTAATCAAAACGTTGTATTTGGATTACCTCCCTTACACTGCTTTTAAATTGTCTTTATTGTTCATTAAACATTACTTTATACATAATTTAAAAGCAGTGTAAGGGAGGTAATTCAAATACATCATTTGAATTACCTCCCTTACACTGCTTTAAATTTTTTGTACTGAAGTATTTGTCCAGTAACCAGGACACCCTTGTTTTTTCCCTTTGTTTGCCCCTAATTCCTAAACGGTTTGAGCCATAACCCCCCCCCCCCCCCCCCCCCCAAAGCAAATCCTACCCATCCCTTTGTGGTATGGAAATTTGTGGTATAATTTCAGAGAGATCCATACACCTTTCCACAAGTTATTGTCTGGAAACTAGAAAAATGCTTATTTTTGGCCCCTTTTTGGCCCGTTAATCTTAAACCGTTGGTACCATAACCAACAAAATCAATCCAAACCTTCCTTTTGTGGTATTGAACCTTATGGTAAAATTTCATAGAGATCCATTCACTTAAACTAAAGTTATTGTGCGAAAACCACTGTGGCTTCGAATGACGACACCGCCGCCAACGTCATACCAATATACGACCGCAAAAATTTTTTGCGGTGGTATAAAAACAACCATGCACAGACAATGATACATACAACATAGCAAGACCGCAAACGATTTGCTTATGTAGAAACAAAGGAAGGCATATAAATGGTTTGTGCATAGATTTCCTTTTTCAAGTTTTATTGTGGAAGTTCTTTATATCCCCTGGATAAAGTTTTGGAAGAGCAGATTAGCTATATAACCTTTTTTTCAAGTGGTTTTCTTTGATGCTATGTACAGCTGTCATACTTCTTCCAGTAAAAGTATATTTGTTTCACAATCGATTTTCATTTATAATCACCTTAATATTACCAATCAGATCATTAAAGAACAAAAAAAGATTAACTTTTTGCAGCTTGAGATCTAAGCCACAACCCCCTTACCCATGGTCTAGGTTAAGTTTCAGGTGAGCAAATATGCCTAACAATAATGTTCTATCAATAAAATTATTCTTGCTCATCAATTAAAAAAAATATCTTATTTCATATCAGAGTGCATTAAAAACATAAACAAAGGTAATCAAAACTGTAACTGATTGATTGATTGGTTTTCGATTGCTAGACATTCAGTGGCAAATCTCAATGCATACTTAGGACAAAACAAATTACTGTGGAATCCCTATTTTTTTCGTGGTTACCAATTTTAATAGATTGAGGAAAAATTGTATTTTTGTGGATATTTGATATCATGGTTTTAATGAAGTCTTGCAAATAAGCCTATAACCAATTTGTGCTTTGCTAAACATTCAAATAGATATAAGAAGATGTGGTATGAGTGCCAATGAGACAACTCTCCATCCAAGTCACAATTTGTAAAAGTAAACCATTATAGGTCAAAGTACGGCCTTCAACATGGAGCCTTGGCTCACACCGAACAGCAAGCTATAAAGGGCCTCAAAAATGACTAGTGTAAAACCATTCAAACGGGAAAACCAACGGTCTATAAAAAACGAGAAACGAGAAACACTTATGAACCACATCAACAAATGCATGGTTTACCTATTCCCACAAAATCCATGAAAATTGGTATCAAATGAATAAAAATGAATCCACAGTAAGCAATAAATCAAATAAGTAGCTCTACAAAATGTGATGAACAACATGAAGGAAGAGAAATTTTGAATTGCCACTAGGAAAAAAAAACACAATAGCAAATGAGGAGATTCACAATATATTCTTTGGTTAAAACCTATTGTTTCAACTTATATATCCTTATTCCTTCCACTTTTATGGCAGGGTATAGTATGATGTGTACAACCTGTATTTCTTCCACAAAGAACAAATAAATGCATTTATACAACATTACATTTTGTATTTAGACAAATACCTAACAATCTTTCTCATACTGTAAATTCAGAAATTATTGCGTGCATTTATTATTGCGATTTTTTCATTTTTGACTAAAATGCGATTTTAATTTTTGCGATATTGAGAAAAATCCTGTTTAATTCGTATAAAAAATTTCAAAATGCGAGTTTAAATTATTGCGATTATAACCCTGTCGCATTTTTCGCAATAATAAAAACATCGCAATAATTTCTGAATTTACAGTAATAAATATTTAACATCATAGAGCATTTTTACTATGTGACAAATCAAAATAAATATTTTTAAAGCTTTAAATATATGGCAAGCATAAAACGCACTCAACACAGTAATGATTTAAAATAAATAAAATGTTTAATGCCAAGACTAACAGTCTGTCAAAATATCTGATACTGGCACAATTTACAACTAAAATGAAAATATGACTAGAAATTCCATAATTACTTCATTACTTTCACCTGATCATGTACAGCCTATGTAATTATAACTATGTGATTACAAAATACTCTAATTCTTTGGTATAGGATTAAATTAAACTCTATTTAAGTATTTGCCATTTCATGAAATCAGTTTTAGAATCTATTAAGATTAAACGAGGACATCATTTAAATATGTAGCTGTTTCAGTTGAGCCAGATTAGGTGAAATTTATAAAATAATACAACCTTTTAAATATAAAAATTTTCAACAAAATACATGTATTTAAAAAATGTGTAATTACACAATCTACTTCCACCTATATTTAAAAAAAAAATAATTTGCAAAATAAATTTCTTCTTTTTAAATATTTTTGTGAAATCTAAGTGAGAAGTAAATGTCATTTAATTTAAGCCTTTTTAAAATCATTTGATGAGGCCTCACGGTCATTTTGACTATCATACTCAAGACTCAGTAATCAACCAATCAAAGTACTGGATTTGATGTTTCAATGACAAATTTTGTACTCAAGTACTGAGTAAAGTTTTATAACCGAAAGGCCATGTACAAAAATCAATTGATACATTTGATAGAAGATTACATTTTTCATTTCTGTAAATGCTGCAAAAAAGAAAATCTACAGAAAAAAAGCTGCTCATTTTTTAATGGATGTGAACATTAATCACCTCTCTTGCCTCATAATCAAATACTCTTGTACAATCATACATGTATCAGTTCTAAACACATAATATGATTTATTGAATTTAACAAGTACAAATAACATATTCAATATACACGATTGCCTACATGTTAATTGGATTTCAAGTGCACATGAAACAACATTCAAGCTGAGTATAATGTGAGCTATGGACTCTTACCTTGGAGACATATATTATATAAAAACACAAAGCCATGGTACCCTGCTTCACTGATGAGATGGTTGATTTCAGTGGGACCTATTTTCGTGGTTGTCAGAATTAGTTGTTAATTCAAGTGTTTTCAACAATTCGGATTTTGAAACTTTTGGCATCAAGCTTTACCAATGATAGTTATTCTAGAATCCTGTATCTTGTTTACTTCAAATTTAACTTAATATCAGTACATATTTAAAGTTGTTTACAACATAAAAAAAAATGATTTTTTTTTCAGTTTTTTTTTCCTGTATGGTTTATTTATACTGTCAAAATACACGAAAATTAGATTCCCACCTATATTAATAATTCTACATTATATATTCAACCCAACAACCAATGTAGATATTTAATTTCTTTTATGACAATCTTCATTAAATATGGTTTTAATGCTGAATAAATGTCTATATAAAATCAATAGACAGACAAAACTTTCGGAATCCCTACCATGTTATTATAACAGAATTAACAGCAATTGTTTCGTAAATTTCAAATTTCCACAGCAAACTTTGAAAAATGAACTTGATTTACTGTTCAAATTCAATCGCTGATGCTAATTTTTCCACATAATCTTATTATAATTAATATCACTATGGTATGGATACCAAAATGCTTAAAAGAGGGTGGTAAAGGGTTATTTTCGTGCAACGTGTTTTGCCATTTTTATTTCACGTGCAGTCGTGAAAAAGGTTCGTTATTCACCGTGTTTCGTGAAATCAGTAAAAAGATCAACGTACAAGAAATTTTTAATTGTTTGTTCATCGTGAAATACCAATTTTATTTCGTGTTCTTCCGTGCAGATACCCCCCTTTACGCCCCTCTTAAAATTTAGGGCTGAAAATTAAATAAATTTGGTAAGGCAGCCAAGGGTTTTATTTTTGGACATGGGTTTTGGATCATATAAAGTTGTATGGCCTTTTGATGAATGCAAAATTACTCAATAAATATTGGTTGTAGAATAATTTTGAAAGTCCCTTACTACTCTCTCATATCCATTTTTAATGGAATGACCCTTACCATGAAAAAAAAACAAACAGATATATATATTGTTGCAATACAACCTTAACTTATACATAATGTAAACAAGAAAATTGCATAAAAAGTAAAAATATAAGTAGGCAGTGAAATAAAAATTTACCATATTTACACTCAAAGTCGATAATTTCCTTCTTCATATAAGACTTTGCATTTCTTTGAAGTTTCATCGATTTAACAGACTTATGGGTAAAACGGATATACCAGCATTGTAATTTTATCACAACAGATTAATATAAGGATTAACAACATTTCTTGCAAGTAGCTAATTCTATTTTCAGATCAAGAAATTGCATAAAGTTAAAAGATTTAAGTAGGCAGTGAATTAAAATTATATCATATTTACACTCGAGGTCAATATTTTTTTTCATCGCATAAGACTTTGCATTTTCAAAGTTCCATTGATTTAACGGATTTGTGGTCAAACAAATACCAGCGTTGTAATTTTTTCACAACAGAATAATATAAGGATTAACAAGATTTCTTGCAAGTAGTAAACTCAGTTTGAAATCAAGAACAACTGTTTAAAAAAAGAATAGGCATTGAAGCCATAATTGCTCAGGAGGAATTCAGGTTAATACAAAATAAGTAAAGTCCCCTGAAGAGAGCAATATTAAATTCAATACCCAATCAAACAGATCTAGGGAAATCTAATTCTAATTACAACAAACAATTAAAATAAAATAGACAAAGTTAACACTTTCTAGTTGGGATGTAAAACCCATTTTTTGCACATCAATGTCTCTCTTAGCTGTAATTGATGGAACTTCATCACACAACATAAATAGTGATAAATAGCATAGTATATGAAGGGCAATTCTATGTAACGTCAGAAGACAAAAATATCCTTTTTTTATGTAAATGGATTATTTTATAGTCTCTTAAGTAATATGGTAACTTATTGCCTTAAGAATACATTTGCTCAAATTTAGACATATTTAACACCTTCTATTACCAATATTATTCTACTTAAATTTAAATCTAGCCAAGAAAAGCAAACAAATTTCTAGTGAATCACTAATTATATAAGAAAAGAATACACTTTTGATATGTACTGTGGATTCATTTATTTTTGTGGGTTGAGGAAAAATTATATCTTCTTGGATATCTGTTTTTTGTGGATTGCCAAAGTCTGCATAAAATCCTAAGAAAATTTCTGATTCTTTGAGCATTTAAATTTATGGTTTTCCTGTACCCACCAAATCCACGAAAACTGGTATCCTATGAATATCAATGAATCCACAGCAGCTGGATTCCAATATCAGACAAACATTGTATTGCTTTTAGCTTGCCTTCCTTATTCAGTTTATTTCTAAATTGAGCAAGTCTTGTTGGCCAAAGAAGCCTATTCATGAATCATATTGTAAGACATAAAACAAGATAAAAAATACAACACTTGGAAAAATTAACATAAAGGAGAAATAAGGCACTCAGCATTGTCATCCTTCTTTCTTTCCCTGTAACATCTGTTATCCTATGTTCAAGTTTCATCATAATTCATCATGTTGTTGCTGTTGCTGCAAATATAAACAAGACAAGTATTATAAATGAAAGGAGATTCAGAAAATCTTAAAGGAAAGAGTAAACCAATAATAAACATATAGATAGGTCATCATATAACTCTTCCTAACAAGTGGTTAAAATAATTAGGAGCATTATGGTCGATTTGTCGCACTACAGAATGAAGTTTGGGAGACCTAATGTAAATTCACTCAGGTCTATGCCAAAATTTATTGTTCATCTTATTCAGAATGCATCATTATAAAAAAAAATATTGGGGCAGTGGGTTTTGAAACACTGCATTAAATTTCATATCAAAATTGTATGAGTAGGGTGATTGCAGAAATAAACCGTCTTTCAAACCCTAATTCATTTAATTTTTAAATAACTCTACATCAATTTATCATATGATTACAGCTGATTCATTGTTCAGTCTTTTTCTATTCATTTATCAATAAATGATATTTGCAAACATCAAATCTTAAATATAATAACAGAAACTATTAAAACACAATAAAGTTATTTTCCAATTTCTGTAAAAATCGCAGGATAATTTCTTAAATTGAAAATGCTTGAAAAATTTAGGATATTACAAGATTTCAAGGTCAAAGTTCAAGCATACTATGACATCTCCAGTAAAACATATAACACTGATCTCTTCCTACAAAATACATCTACTTACTTTTTGTACTTTACTTTTTAAGAAGTTTGTTATATATGTTGCATCTAAATTTTCTAAATCATATCCATATGTATCCTACAAAAAGAGAAAAATTGAGAGAAAATCATTGATGATAAAACATGAAGTGAGAGGTTATTTGACTCTCAGAGGTCTGTAAACTGTTGATGGCAAATGTCTTGAGTGTTCTTTTGTACTTTTGATGATGAGCAGTTTATTTCGATCCAAAGAACTTAGATCATAAGGTATAGTTTTAAACCTAAAATTTTCCAAAAACAGATAAAACTTTAAATTTTATTCATTGAACATTGCTTAATGTCATTTCAGCAAGTTAGGGTAAATCATAGTGACCAGTTTTAATTGGTGTAGAAGCTAGAAAAGAGAAAAGAACCACCAAAATAAGACAAGAAAACTGGCAATCTTGTCAAACAAGTGAAACTGCGAGCTACTGCTCACTGATGATACCCTAATTTTAATAGTGTAAAAATATGTAAGTGTTCGGTAAACAGGAAGTTGTTGAGTGATGAATCTGAAAACGCATCACACGGTATAGCTGACTTATATAAACCCTGAATCAAATTTCAGAAATCCTTATGATGTAGTTCCTGAGAAAGCTGTGATGAAAAATATTCATGGGGCGGACGAATGGATGGACGGACAGACAGAGGTAAAACAGTATACCCCACTTTTTTAAAGCGGGGCTATAAGATCAAAGTAGAAAGTACATAGCAGGAGTGGTTTAAACTAATTATTCCAGGTATGATAAGCTGGTGGTCACGGCAGATTATAAGTACCTAGATACTTTTTATGAGAATCATTCAGAACAGATATTTTTTTTGCCAAACTTGGTAGTAAAAAATTAAAAGAAGGGAAAAGGGTTGGACAGCTATTATTCATTGGTGAATGGTTAAGGATTTTTTTAGCTATATATTTTGATTCCAATATCCCTCTTCTAACATACCACTGCACTCGACTCAAATCTGAATTGCCTAGGATTGTCAGTTTTCCTAGTAAAGTTCGGTGGTTCTCTGCGGGCACTCTGGCTTCTGACAGCCACGAAATAGAACAATAGAGTTGAAAGTGGCGTTAAACACCAACCAATCAATCAACCAATCCAACATTCCATACAGTATGATCTACCAATTCATTATTCTAACTTTTCAATGCTATTTACAAAAAAAGGCCATGGGTTCAAATTAAAACAAGAATTGAGAACCAATACATTTTAACTCCAAATGAGGATATTTAATTTCTTTCTATGAGAGTAATTTTTAACACCCGACAGGCACAGGCTTAATTGAAAATCTGTGGAAACTAACAATCAGTCTTTATTTTGTCCAACAAAAAAATCCTTGTGGCTATCCCAAAAAACAGAATTAAGAAATGTTAAAGAAAAATTAACTTATTCTCTTGTGAAGAGTTGTCTCATTGGCAACCATACCACATCATCTTTTTTATATTTACTGCAGGGTTTGTTACTCGTGCTGTGTGGATGCAGTAAAATGTGTCCCTGTGCCTGGAGTGTATGCCCTTATATTTTTACAGTTAGGGTTTTTTTGCTTGTGAGAGAGCTGTTAACATATTCCATTATATTAATGTTTCTGTGTCATTTGGTCTCTTGTGAAGAGTTGTCTCATTGGCAATCATACCACATCTTCTTTTTTATATTATGAAATAACATCACACTATCAAATATTCAACTTTGGGCTGTTCGGTAAAAACATACATGGGAACCAGGGAAGGCACTTCCAAATCTCAACTATGGGTGGGTGTCATCTATTTTTTTTTTGCATAGTGGAAATGTTAGTGAAATTTTAATTTGCCTCTATAGGTGGTTACCCCATTTTTAAAGTGCCTTCCTTGGGAACCATGTATGTTTTAATGGAACAGCTCTCACACATTACAGTGTATTCTACAACAAACGAAGCAAGAACTTGTTTTGCCCACTACATACCTGTGACATGCCTTCCTTACGTGCCCCTTTATAGAATTTAACTGTAGGATAAGCTCTGACGCCAGCCTTATTACATAAGGCAGGTTCTTCATCACAGTTAACTGTTCCTGCCTTAACTAGACCATCAAGTTCCTAAATAAAATTAAAAATTAGAAGTTAATATATATAATTGATTGATTATTGGTTGTTTAACGTCCAGTGGCAAATATTTCATGCATGTTCAGGACGAGAACAAATTAACAATAGATGCAAAAGGTAGGTCCTGTATTATAGGCCTTCCAGGACGAAGGTTGGGGGAATTTGGACTGCCACTAGAAAATGAAGGTATATTGGAAATGGACAGAAATTTGACATTCAACAGACCCCCTAAGGATCCCCCAAAGATGAGAGAGTGTTACTCTCTTTACAGGAGGCATCAGATTTAATGTCCTCATTCTGACTGGATGTGAATTTAATGCCCTCATTTTGACTGGATGTGAATCAAATGTCCTCATTTTGACTGAATGTGAATTTAATATAAATATGTCATGTAATAAGCCATATCCAATAAATCAAATAGGTCACCGGGTCAAATACTTTTTAACTTTTTTCATGGCTTTTTTATGAAAAAAATACCCAAAGGGGGGTCAGTATATATGCCAGGTACATACGCTATATCCAATATCTTTGAAATACAGATCCAGTGTCCAAGTTTTGTTTACAATGCTTGATAATACAATCTCTTTCAAAGACCTTTCAGAATCTGATGGTTTTGTTGTAATTAATGATACACACCTTCAAAAATTTGAAGGTTGAAATTTCATTGGTTGATGTAATAATTACAAGAATAGATAGTAGAACAGTGCTGTCAGATCCTTTTTAAGAAAAGAGTAGACACAGAAATCTGTATTTTAATGAGATTGGGCTTTATCCAACAATTTTTTTTAACTTTGGCACTTGATTTTTATTTTTTCATTTTTATAGGTACCACTTTTTTTTTTAAATCAGTGCTCATATAAAATGAAAACCGAATTATCACTAGCAAGAAAATAAGTTTAAACTGAAAGATTTATGCTTTAAAGATATCTTGAATATTCACCTCTGCAATTTTTACAAATTCTGGTTTAAACACTTGACAATGGCCACACCATGGAGCATAATAGTCAATCACCCATGGTGTTTTACTCGTTATAATATCGCTGAAGAATTCTCTGTGTTTTATTGTCTTTACTTTAGAAGGTAAGAATTCAAAAGCCCAAGCTCTTAATGACTGAGCATCTCTATTCCAACCATTGTATGCACTGTAATATAGAAAAGTTATAATGTCAAATTTAATCAAAAGAAAAGGAAGAAAAAAAAGAAGAAAAAAATCAGTTCAGGTTGATTGCATCTCATATTTTCACCTTTCCATAATGTTTTGTAGCCCTCCCCAGATTTCTTCCTAGACTTTGCATTAAAAATTTGTATCTAACACCTATATTTCTCATTCTTCTTCACTTGCATCATGTAACAAAATAATATTGAAATTATCGATATTTCTAAATAGTTTAAATTGTACACGATTGAACATACATTTAGTATGATAAATCCAGACATTTCTTCCCCTGATTTTTTTTTTCAAATTCTTCCAATACCTTCTTAAAAATTCAGACATATTCATAGAATATTTCAAATATTCTTTTGGCATGATGGGAGTTATAGAATTCCACTAGAAATATACAATTCATACTTTAAATTTCATTTCTTCACCAGTATGTACTTTTAAGAACATTGCTAAGTATTTAAACACTTTTTAACTTTTACGACTGGCTTTGACAAAATAAATAGTGAATGAGTATGTTTGTGTCACACGTGTAATTTTTTTTATACAACTGGATCAGGCAATATGATAATTATTATGAAGTAACTTTTCACAAGATTCTCATATCTGTCTCTATCAGAAATACATTTTTTGACAAATTCATGAGGAGCATTTTATGTCTCATGCAACACTGTGTGTAATGTTCATTTTGATTGGGTAACACCACAAATTTCAAGACATCAATTCAAGAATAGAATAATCTGAAATTGTGTGCAAGCGTAGAAGTCATGCAAGCTAATTTTATAATCTATGATTGAAATGTCCTTTTAATTTGTTTCATTTGCATTATAATTAAGATAACAATTGATGTAAAAGAAGATTAACAAGCATCAATTTCTGATTTGATGGTAGCAAATACCCCTAGACTGGTCCTATGATTTGACTATGGCAAATGTCTGTTTACTTGCTTCCCTGTAAGTCAACAGATATTTGCTACCATTAAATCAGAAATTAATGCCTACAAATCTTCAAATACAACTCTGCAGTATCCTTATGTCCATCAGGAGATTAAACCTCAAGGATATATTGTGTGGATGAATAATTACATTACATGTATGTATCATGATAATTTTATTTTGAATGGCTAACAGCAATCTCATGTCATTCTGAAATTAATCTTCATTTCAAAATGAAAAGTAACATTCATGATGACACAAGCTTCCACAATAAAGTGCACAGGTAAATAAAAGACAAACTTGATAGAAATTGTGTTTTTATGATCCTAGCAAAAAAATGTAATTATAAGTATTGAATGCTTCTTTTAGTAATTTCATAGGGTTGTAAAAGCGTTGACTGTGCACACATTTTAAGAAGCTTTGGCACTTTATACAAAATGTACTTCAGTCAACGCTATTACACCCCAATAAAATTTACAAAAAGAAGCATTCAATTCTTAAATATTCTATAAACTTACAAAAAGCTGCCTGTGCCCGAGCCAGAGGAGTATAATCTGACAGTGGGATAGGAATGTACTTTGTTATTCTGACAGAACCATTGATTGTTTGGATCAGCACAGTCTACCTGACCGACATATATATTCTTTGTTTCCTTGAACATCTGAAAAGTGAGAACTTGTTATTAGTTAATGAGTATTAAATTTTGTAAGCTTTACCTCCAGTATTTTAAAAGTATTCTTGCATTTCTAGTAAGGGCTATTCCTGAAAAAAAATAATCAGGGGTTGGACAACACTTTTTTATACCCCACTAGCCATAATTTTTATTTTCATGTGAAATAGAATTGTATTTGCTTCTATCCCTTTTATTAAACCACAGAAAAAATATCATGTGGGGTCCAACCCACCCATACATTTTTTCCTGGAATAGCCCAAGATGAATTCATATTTTTAGTCTGTTGCCAAATTTTTTTTTACACACAATTATTTGCCTAGAAATCTATTGTTTACACAGAAATATTCACATAAAAACTATTTTCCAAGAAAGACAACAAAACAAATAGAGAAAGTTTGACTGATATTTTTTCAAAGTTATTATTCGTAAAAGGTACAATACTTGAAAGATTTATATTTTTTCAAAGTATTTGATATGCTATACCTTTTATATTAATAATAATGGCAGATTTCATGATATAATAAAAATGTATAATATGAGCTGCGTCAGATAAAAATTGACCAAATTCTAGAGCACGTGTACATGTACATGCATAAGACTTTGACATATACAAATATGAAATAGAAGATAAATTTTGGTCTGTTTTGTAGGGTTCTTAGACTTTCCGTAAAGATTTTTTCAACCCGAAATAAGTTAACAGATGTATTGATATTCATTTGCATAAGGTTGGTTCCTATCCGGCGCAGCTAATATGTAAGATTTCCCAGTTCAGCAAAAAGAATTGAACAATTTTTGTGCCATTTAAAATGTGTGTTTGTTCTAGTCTTGAAAATTAATGAAATATTGCCTCTAGATGTAAAGCAAACAATAATCAATAAACATAATTGATATAAAAGAACAGAGTTCCAATGTCCCTCCATGTTGCACATATTCTATCTATCCAGGGGCAATAACTAAAAAAAACACTTTTTTTTGTTGTTCTTGAAAACAGTTTATGAATAAAAAGCATGCACCGGGACAAACATTTTTTTTTTATTGTATACTAAATATTTCAAACAGACCTTCAAGGACATAACTTATAGTACACTATAAGTTTTTAAAAAAATTGTACCCGTGAGAGCGCTAACAGGGCCATTTTCCATAAATTTAATATTACCAAGGGGCAGAACTCTTTTAAAAAAAGTCGATCGGCCACCATTATAAACTTGTCCGAGATATTGCTGATATTAACCTATAGTATAAGTTTTATAAAAATCTGGCAAGAATTGTACCTGTGAGAGCGCTAACAAGACCGGACGGATGCCCTGTATATACATGTCCTTAGCAATGCGTTACGCAGGGAACAAAAATCCATATATTACCTTAGCTAATCTTCTCCATTCTGGAGCAAGTTGTTGACAGGGTCCACACCAGTGAGCAAACCAATCTATCAGCCATATTTCATCTGGTTTTTTATTGACAACACGCTCCTCAAACATAGCTTCAGTTACTATAATAACAGGTGGATTTAAAGTATCCTGCAATAAAGCAATTAAAATATGTAACTTCTGCAAAAACATTCTTTGATAAATCATTTACAATTAATCTTTGGTTGATGGCTAGATTACTATCATTGTTTTTTAAAATGGTGGAGGATCTAAACCATATTAGCGTATGAGCAGCACATCATTTAATCTATGTAAAGAAATGTATAAATCTATGATATTGCTAAAATTTCAGAAGGGAATCGATTGCAGTACAATTGTGTAAAATGTCAACACAAACTTAAGAAATGTAATCCTGTAAAAAAAAATGTTCATTAACTAATTTAAACTGGAAAGACAGCTAACTTTGGAGAAACTAAATTTTAATTTGTGAATTTAAAAAAAAAATGTACAGGGATTCATTTAAAATCCATTCCTGATTGAAGAGTTTGATTTGAATATAAAACACATGTTTTTTTTCTTTTTAGGCCAATTAAAATTAATTGATAGATTTTTATCCCCGCCAGCCCCTCTAAAATCGTTCCGCCCCGATTTTTTTTATTTTAAAAAATTTACAATTTCCGGATTTTGTTCATTTCCGTTACTAGTAACCACCAATAATTTTGTTTCATTCAAAACTTCCTGAATTGCAAATTTCGGTTTTAGTATTTCTCGAGTAATTTAACCAAAATGATTCTGCTGCTCTATGATGACAACATTATCTTCTGAGAATAGAGATTGATTACGAGAAGGGCATGAAATATTCGGGTTACGAGTAATAGGCGGTGTCCAAGAACACAAATCGTGGTATGTCACAAATTTCTGTGATTAGAAAACTATAGATTTTTTTATTTATACAATGACTTTGTGTCAGGAAAATTTGGACTGTGAATGATATCCAAAGCGCAAGAATCATGGAACACATTAGTACAATTAAATGGGGAATGTGTCCATGGGACACAGATGATGCCCACGCTTGCATATCATATAAAGTTATAAAGGGACATATCTGAAGAATGGTAAAAGTGACGCTACCCAAATTTGTTTTTGATCTGAGTTTTGTAGTAATTAGTATTGTGTATAAGTTTCATAACATTTGGTTGAGGCAAACTTAAGTTAGAGAACGGAAACGAAAAATTCAGCAATTTTTCCATTTGTAAAGGGGCATTAATCTAGAACGGTTAAAGTGACACCACCAAAATTCAAACTTGATCTGTATTTTGTGGTAATAAGCATTGTGTATAAGTTTCAGAACATTTGGTTGAGGCAAACTAAAGTTAGGGAACGGAAAGGAAAAAGTCAGCAATTTTTCCATTTGTAAAGAGGCTATTTATAGAACAATAAAAGTGACACCACCAAAATTCAAACTTGATCTGTATTTTGTGGTAATAAGCATTGTGTATAAGTTTCATAACATTTGGTTGAGGCAAACTAAAGTTAGAGAATGGAAACCAACTTTGGGACGTACGGACAAGGGTAAAACTTAATGCCCCCGCCCTAGTGGAGCGAACGACTGGAACAAAGAAATTGACACAACCACGAACTTGTGCGATTTATGATTGTATATTGAGTACAAAAAGTTGGTCAACGTACAAAATGTATTATCGCAAGCCCTTAGATTTACCCCTAGGCTATCGTTTTTTGTTGACAAACAGCAAACACCCTCTGTCCCCAGCCCCTCAATAGAGTCAATAAACAACTTCTTCTTTTTGGTTAAGTTCAAGTTCTACATTGTAATTATATTTGCAACTTGCATACGAATCTTAAAAGCATGAACCCTAGTGTTTTCAACACAGTTTGAGTTTTCATTTCACTCTGTTCTCATAATACTTGTGTTGCATACTAATGCATAGGCTTCACTTTATGGGCACTACAAACAATAAGTTAGAAAGCCAAATAAATTTAGTGTAGGCTAGGTTGTCTTAAAGAGAGCATTTCTCCACGTTTTTGCTACATGTATTTACTAAAAATAGGTTTCTAAAGCGGCAATTACAAGTAGAACAGTGGCTGCCAATCAGAAATATTTATTTAAGAATTTGAAAAATTATGTAGGATTCCTTATATATACATGATAGAAGCTTAATAAATTACCCTTGAATATGAGGAACACATCACAAAAGGGTTTCATAGGAAATAAAAATTAAACAAGCATTCTGAGAGTATTGCATGGCAATACATAGTCCACTACCAGGTAAAAATTCATTATACTGGAACAAAATGCTAACTTGTTATATAACTTGCCATGGTGTAAACAAAAAGTAAATATCATGTCAATATCTTCAAGCATGACTAAAAACAGTGTGGAAAACTGATTATTTGAGTGAATTTTTCAAGTCCAAGGACCATAACTCTGCACAAAATTATTAGACAGAAACAAAAAATTTGAACTTGATCTGTAACTTGTCATGATAAAACTATATACCAATTATCAATCAATATCGTATAAGCATGATGAAAAAAACATTAAGATATGAATAATAGTTCTCTAAAATTAGATATGATGTAATACAGTGTATACCTATTTTCAAATTATAATCAAATATAATTAATAGTTCCAAATATTTTTTCTTTCATTTGTCACAAACTAATATAGATTTGTAACTTATCTATAAAATGTCAACAACTTTTATCTACACAATGTAATGTATTGAAATATATACATAATAAAAATAGATTATTATCTAATTAAAGGATTTCTCTTCATAATTTTTTTTTTATATACATAGCATTCAGAAAATTAGTTTATACTAAATAACAAACAAACCTGCCAAAAAATTCTTCAAATAATTGAACAAAGAATGTCTTTTAAAAAATTAGTTATCTCCCTTTGTACAGAAATATGGTTTAACATAGTACTCTAACATTAGATATGGTCCATAACTCTGGATTAAATCATCAGACCGGAACAAAAGTTGACCTTGATCTATAACTTGTCATGATAAAACTATATACCTAATATAAAATCAATATCTTCAAGAACGAAGAAAAAAAGTGTGGAAAGCTGATTTGCCGTCTGACAGAAGGACAGACAGACAGACAGATGGACGGAGTGCAAACCTAAAGTCCCCTTCGACTTCGTCGGTAGGGGACTAAAAAATAAAATCCTCCCACCCGCCCCATTTTATTCAAAAATCTGGATGAAAATCTACTAATTAATTTTAGTTGGCCTTATCTAGTGTAGATATTCACTTTGAAGCTCTTTTGGGTTAGTTGTGTTATTTTCAATAATAAATTCTACTAGCTATTATTAAAAGTTCTACTTTAATTAGAAGTAGGAAAATTTTCTTCACATACCTGTATAAACTCCAAAATATGAGATGATGAATGATGTCCACTGTATTGATGAGGCTTTGTGTTATTGTATAGGATGGTAGTGGGATAAGATCTTATGTTATACTGAAATATAAAAGACAGATTGTTTATGTCAGCCATCATTTAAAAAAAAATATGTTTTAACATTCAAATTTACTATTGTTATAGCACAATTGAAAATTTTGGTTGTCACAATTTCAAATGATTTTTTCATCAAAAATGACAGGGTCAACTTAATCTTTCCTTTCAAAAATCTAGATTATTCTTAGTAAAGAATCAATACCATGTACATAATCCGGTTTTAATAAACTTTGATATTAAAATTGGTAAATGTTACTGTAAACAATGACTGTTAACATGCTTTTGAAATTAATTTCTATTTTATGTTAAAAATCAATTAAATAAAATATTTAAACAGAGAATCACACTATTGTTTCAGATAAGGGTGAAGGTTTGGTACCATTAAAACATTTAAACCCGCTGCAATTGTTTGCACCTGTCCTAAGTCAGGAATCTGATGTTCAGTAGTTGTGGTTTGTTGATTTGGTTCATAAGTGTTTCTCGTTTCTGGTTTTTTATATAGATTAGACCGTTGGTTTTTCTGTTTGAATAGTTTTACACTAATAATATTTGGGGCCCTTTATAGCTTGCTGTTCGGTGTGAGCCAAGGCCCCGTGTTGAAGACCGTACTTTGACTTATAGTGGTTTACTTTTATAAATTTTGACTTGGATGGAGAGTTGTCTCATTGGCACTCATACCACATTTTCTTATATCTAATTGTTTATTTTTCAGAATTCCATACTGATGGAATTTTAGAAGTGGACGACATATATGATTTCAAATGTTAACAAAATATAGAATTCATTTAAAAGTGCACCAAACTTTTATCTTAACATTGAAACAAATTCCTATTTATGAAATTGTAATAATCAAATAAAACATGTTTGAGTTACTTCCCTTTTGCTGTAAATTGAAATGCATGCCTAAATACTATACAACATATACTGGCCAAAAAATAGTAAGGCATGGCACATGAAAAGCAACAGGAAGCAGGAGTGCACTTGAAAACTACCAATCTAATAAAAGAATCAGATATTAATTGACAGAGAGTAGCAAATTAGTGAATATGAAGAAAGATGTTGGATCTCTTAAAACGATGATGTGATAACAACCAAATGACATCTTTATGTTCAAAATAAATGAATATGAGTTTACCATTTGACAAAGTTGGTTATGTACAGTACAATCAACAGTGCCAAAACCAATATCATCACCATCATAATTCCTGGCAGCCTTTCTGAATTCTGGTAATAGTCTCATACAAGGTGGACACCACTGAAAGATATAATAAAGACAAAGATAGACAAAAATAGTTACTAACATCAACCATTTAACTATGACAGGCCTTGGATGGCCATAATAATAACCAGATAAACTTATCTGACCACATCGCAGGTACAAAATATGGTTCATTAACATAATGCATATGATTTTCACACTGGTTGTTTTAAGTTTTTCGTCAAATTAAAATTCTTATGAACTCTGGTAAAACATTTAACTGCAGCAAAAATACACTTTTCAGAAAAGAATATCATTGCAATATTTTTTAAATTTAAACTATAATGCCATACAAACTAGATTTTTTCCCAGTATGTTTTTTCAAGAGAGAAACAACTCAAAACCATACTTGTGTACATGGAACTAAATTTCACTGAGGATTTCCTTGTACATTAAAAAAATAAGGTTGTCTATAGATCAATACTTAACACCGATTAATTTAAGAATTTTAAATTAGATGTTAGAATTTCAAGATATTCACCTGGCCACCATGAATTTCACCATAGACTAGACAAATATGTATTTTCGTATATCTTAAAATACTTTACGATACTTACTGGAGCAAAGAAATCAATGAACCACATAGACTGACTGGATGGTCCAACTCTGTGTGATTGAAAGTCATCAGGTGTCAGGGACTCCAACTTAGTAGTCATACTGTCCTTAGCAAAAGCACTCACATCATGGGCTGTTGCTCTTCCTGAAAAAAAAAGAGTATTCAAAACTCATTACAGACCAAATAAAAGCTAAAAACATTAGGAGGCAAGCAAATGTGATGTCATTTTTTAGAAAAAATTTGCTGCTTTCAGCAAATTGTTCATGGAAGATATTCGAATGTGTCTGTTATATCTTATTCAACATTTTTTAGACTCATGAATATTTGGAGCTTGATATATTGTTCAGCCACACATCTGTGATAGAAGACTGTATATTACCTTCTAGAAGTATTTTGGTTATTTTTGTCGTTTGCCTGTTATTTTGGTGAAGTGTACCCTTCATTTTCTCTTATTCATATTTGTAACTAGCATTTTACTTATCCATACAACTAAAAGATGTCAGGTATATATATAAGAGGCTGCAACTGGATGACGTCTTTTATATTCTAAATAATTACCGCCTACCAAGTTGTCTATCAAATATCTTGATGTACGGCATAGTCATCCAAATATTTGTATTCTTTCTGTATATTACAAAGAGATAGTCCAACAGACTATGACAGTATTTTTTATATTAGATTTGGATACTGTAAATTCATAAATTATTGAGAGGTTTTTATCAATGGGAACAATTAATGCCACCGGGTGAGATTCGCAATTAATAATAACTCACATTCTGATAACAGATGCATATATCTGTATGCAGGTCTTTATGAAATGGCAATAATTAATCTCGCATTTTTGTCCATTCTTAAAAAATCGCAAGAATAAGTGTACACAATAATTTCTGAATTTACAGCCTTCTAACTAATTACGTCCTACCAAGTTGTCTAACACATATCTAAATGTAGCTCATAGATGTCCAACTGTTTGTATTCTTTCTGTATTTTACAAAAAGATTGTCTGGCAGCAATGACAGTATTTTTTTATATTTCTATATTTGGTAATTATTTAATGCACAGATATAACTGAATCAAGATACAGCAAAGTGATCAGCTCAATTAGTACTGTAGGCTGCAATATATCTAAAATGGAATGTTTACTGATAAAAACTTCTCAAAACATAAAGTTAAACATACCATAATACAGCTCAAACACACCAGTCTGCTTGTAAACAACAAAGGAAGGGAACTTCTCAAAACATAAAGTATAACATACCATAATACAGCTCAAACCCACCAGTCTGTTTGTAAACAACAAAGGAAGGGAACTTCTCAAAACATAAAGTATAACATACCATAATACAGCTCAAACCCACCAGTCTGCTTGTAAACAACAAAGGAAGGGAACTTCTCAAAACATAAAGTATAACATACCATAATACAGCTCAAACCCACCAGTCTGCTTGTAAACAACAAAGGAAGGGAACTTCTCAAGACATAAAGTTAAACATACCATAATACAGCTCAAACCCACCAGTCTGCTTGTAAACAACAAAGGAAGGGAACTTCTCAAGACATAAAGTTAAACATACCATAATACAGCTCAAACCCACCAGTCTGCTTGTAAACAACAAAGGAAGGGAACTTCTCAAGACATAAAGTTAAACATACCATAATACAGCTCAAAACCACCAGTCTGCTTGTAAACAACAAAGGAAGGGAACTTCATAACATGAAGCTCATTACATTCTGATCTCAACTTCTGACAGTCTACTCTTCCAATCTGAAAATATTGTATTATTCATTGACATACTTTTCAAAAAAGAACAATATTGAGAATTTATAAATCTTTTATAAATTAAGTCTGAAATCAAGATTTATTTATAGAAAAGCTTAAACCATTTACATGCATGAACTTTTATAGATATAGAAATAAGAAAATGTGGTATGATTGCCAATGAGGTAAGAGGCTGCGTTTCTCAATTTTGATTTTATGCTTGATTTTTTTCTTTCTTTATAAATACAATAAATGTATCAAACATAAAGTAAACTTTTTCCAAAAATATTGGAAAAGCTATAAGGAAGCAAGTTCAAAGGAAAGCTTAACAGTTCAGTACAACTACATATTTTTAAGGGACAAAGTTACAATTTTTAAATTCAATTAAAAGCTGTGTGGAATATATATACATGTAGATCTGTATGCTGAACACAATGTTCTTATTGTTTGGACTTCCAGGTGGATTCTATACTATATATACAGTCTACCATGGCTTATTCAAACTATATTTTTTGTCTTTTTGTAATGGCAAAATGTTTTAAAATCTAGTGATGAATGATTATATCATACTAGTATCTATTACTGTGAATTCAATAACTTTCAAGGGGTACAATTTTTTTTTTTAGAATTATGGGGATAGACAGGGAACCCTAGTCAAAGATTGCTCTGACATTCAGTTACACTTTTATGGGACTGTTTGGGACATAACTCAAGAAAATATATGGAAATTGTAGACCCTGATCTCGTGACTTGCGACAAGTTTCGATCATGAAATAACATTTTTTTTAGAATTATGGGGATAGACAGGGAACCCTAGTCAAAGATTGCTCTGACATTCAGTTACACTTTTATGGGACTGTTTGGGACATAACTCAAGAAAATATATGGAAATTGTAGACCCTGATCTCGTGACTTGCGACAAGTTTCGATCATGAAATAACATTTTTTTTAGAATTATTGGGATAGACAGGGAACCCTAGTCAAAGATTGCTCTGACATTCAGTTACACTTTTATGGGACTGTGTGGGACATAACTCAAGAACATATATGGAAATTGTAAACCCTGATCTTGTGACTTGCGACAAGTTTCGATCATGAAATAACATTTTTCGTACAGCAAGGAAGCATGTATCATTCATAAAAATTACAATCTTCCTTTTAAGAAAAAGAAAATTTAACTAAGTTATTAATTAGTATAAAAGTCTTTCAGGAAAAATCTGAAGAATATTCAGAATTCAAAGTAATGCTAATTTTAACACTGTTTTGTGACATTTTAAAATTTTATTTTTTGCTCCATGTTGAAGGCCTCACTATGTCTTGGAGATGTTGGAACAGCAATAAAAATGTTGTTCCTTTGTTTTTTGCTATACATGAACTGGTTTTGTGTCATGGATGGATATCCCATATCCTTTGTTTTTCTATTCTATAGTGGTTGGGACCACTGAAGGAAATTGTCGAAATGTGGCAAGTTTCTTTCTGAAATTTATTCTACAAAAAGCTATTTGGAGAATTGGAAGATTATTTCAAGGTTAAGCTTATTCCAACACTGTTTTGTGATATCAAAATTTTTATTCAAGAGTTGTTTCCCTTAGATGGTACCTTAATACCTTCCAGCATGGCTGGCAGTTTTCTGAATTCTATATCCTGACTACCATCCCCTTCCACAAAATGTATCAACCATGTATGATGTTGACCTGTCTTCAATCTGTTTATAATTTTCTGTAAGAAAGAAAATGCAACTTGTATTAAAGTTATCAATAATACATGTAGGATATGTCAGATTTCCCGGTGTCAGACAAATATAAATGACATACAATGAAATAGCAAATAAATAGACAAAACATCATTTTAATGGTCTTGATTTTCATTAAATAAGTGTGAAAGGACATTTATATTTATAAGATATCACCATTCAAATTAAATCAATAAGATTTTTCTGCATTAACAATGGGAACTTAAGAAATTTGAAATCAACATTATTTTTTATAGACTTAACCAAATCTTATCCTGACCAATATACATAGGTTTAAAATGTTTGAGTTTTTTTTAACAATATCAGTGTTTTCCATTCGGCATTTAAGCCGGGTGTGCCTACCACCTTCTTTTGAAAGCCGACCACCTTTCCATTTTAGGAGGTGGTCGGCTTTTTTTTCAAATTCTGGATTTTTTTTGGTTCCGCACCGTAAAAATTTGAATACTAATCGCGCTGATTTGTTTTCATTGACAAAAATGGTGGATCGTCAAATTTCAATGTTTTCTATTATTATTCGGGGGAAGAGAAAGGCAGATGACGATGGTGATAAGGAAAACTTTAGGCAAAATAAGTCAACTTAAAATGGATAGTTGTATTGAAATTGTTAAAATTGAAAAAAAAGTATCAAAACAACCAAAAAGTCACCTGCACGCGAGCGATCGCAAAAGTAAACAGGTTGGGAACAATCCCCAAATGAGGGACATTCCTCAAATGAGTGACAAGAGGTCGTCTTATAGTTGAAGAAAAGAAAAAAGAAAAACTAAGATTTTTTAACTTAAAAGGGGGAAAACTCGTTATAAAATTGAATCAAATTAAATAGTTTATTATTCCAATCAGGGTCCCACAGGGGGCATTTACAATTAACAATAATTTATGATAGTATAACTATAAGCAACAAACATGAGACATTGTACAGTTATGTAATATTTGGAACAACTTTTCTAAAAGAGGGTCCCTTTTTTTTAATGATAAAGTAGATATAAGTCCAGGATTATTACAAAATTCTCGGACATGTTTTGACCATATAATACCAAATAGATGTATAGTTCTTTGGAAAAGTTTCTATAAATGAAATAAATATGGTGCTCATTTGTATCTCCTGAAAAGTATCCTTCATAAAAGGGATAGTCATTACATTGAGAGGTTGTTCCCAAGCTGAGAAATATGAACAGGACTTTAAATGGCTAATCATCACAGAAGGAGGATGTTACTGTTCTGTGTACCAAAAATACAGCACTAAAGCAAGGAATAGGACAGAAATTTGTCAGGAGGAGGGAGTCCTGCAAAAGCCATCTGCTATTCAATTCCATTAAATGTGAATACAATACTAATAGTTATAGGAAGATGTGGTATGAGTGCCAATGAGACCCATTCTTTTTGTGACAACACCCACAGTAAAAAAACCCGGTTGGAAAAGTATAAAAAAAATAATACGACCGGTTGCAAGTGATTTTTTCAAAAGACCCACCTTACCTTAGTGAAAAATGGAGAACACTGAATATGTACATATATTTTTACAAAAAATATATTTAGAAATATGTATTTCTTTATTGTTAAAAGCCTTATGATTCCGTATGCATATGGGACATCACCTTTAAATAGTAATTTATATACCAGGGTGTTATATAATAGTATTGAAAATGCATTTATTTATAACATACATTCCTTTCTCTCAAAAAGTTCATCTGAAGGTACCAAGACCAAATAGATAAATATTCAGTGTCAACTACACAAATAATACAGAATGGTCTTGAGTCATAGATTATAGGTACTGAGTGTATCATTTTATATGCAGTTTTCCCTTTATTTGTCTTTTTTTTTCTATTGTATTCCTTGTATGTGTGCATCCAAATTTCAAGTTAATGGCTTTGGGTGTTTGTGATGTGGTTGGTTCCAAGGGGGCAATTTGGATGCATAAAGCTTTTATAGTGTTACTTTCATTGTGTGTACCCTTGTGTTTATATTTCACTTAATTTGCATTTTATCAGGAAAGTGTGTATAAGTTATAATATTTTACTTTACTGTACAGTGAACTACAAAGCTTTTTTTGTTGGTGTCTATGTTAGACTTATTTTTACCTATCTAGACATTGAGCCCTTTAATTTGTGACTCAAAATAACATCTGATAAACAGTACCATACCGTTAGAGTTTTTGAATCCAGGTTATCAACATCAGGTAACCATGACAACACTTGGTGAGCAATTTCTTGAGCATTTAAACTGGATATTTTCTGAAATATCAAGTCCTAATATTAGTTTTCTAAAATCATACATCTGGCTCAATTTAAATCATTACACATGATGTGTTTATGTGGGATATATATATATATATATATATATATATATATGGAAATATGTACAATATCAGTCTTCACGATAAATGAGTAGTCAGAAGCCGGATGCTTTTAAATTTCCTCGTGAGCCTGTGAAAACTAGTTTTACAGGCCTATAGAATTTAAACAAAATTCTGAAAAAATGGGGTGTGGGCCTGTGGTCCAAAAAGTTTGCTGTGAAGACTGCAATATTATCTAATATTTTTGAAAAAACATAAAACCCCTCATTTCGAATTTTGATAGGATTCTTGTATTTATAAGTCTTTTCCTGAAATCCCAATTCGGCATTTGTGTCCGTTGTTCAACAGTCTCATTTATTAATAAACACAAAAATTCAGTATTCACCAGAGACCAAATGATGTAGATGTTAACAACTATAAGTCACTGTGTTCTTAACTGTTTTAATGTTCAAGTATTTACAGCTTTTGAATAATTGTTCGCATCTGTAGACCCAAAAAAGTTCTTTAAATTTTTTTCATGTACCAGACCAGCTGCCATCTACAAATTTCTGTTTAATCATATACACACACAACAATTTTTCATTTCCCAGACCAGTTGCCACCTACAATTTTCTTTTTAATCATATACACACACGACAATTTTTCATTTCCCAGACCAGTTAATGTTGCCATCTACAATTTCTTTTTAATCATATACACATACCTTGCCGTCATCTTTTGTTACTTCTGCGGTAGGATAATAATATGTGCCATGTTCTATTCCAAGTTTCTCACAGAACTTTTGGTCTTTATGACAATCTACTGATGCAATATTGACCAAATCAGTCTGAAATCAAAAGTTATCAAATGCTGTGGATTCATTTAATTTCGTGGATACCTATTTTCGTGGTTTGAGGAAGATTTGTATTTTCTTGCATATTTGATTGATGGATTTGCCAAAGTCTGCATGCAAGGCTATAGAAAATTTAAATTTCATTGAACATTTAAATTCATGGATAACCTGTACCCATAAAATCCCCCAAAAGTTGGTATCACACGAATACTGAAACCTCAGTAGCATCAAGATTAAACAATCTGTCTAATATAATTTTGCCAAAAAATAGATACCATTATTACAAACTACAAGTTATGAAATGAATAAATTTGAAGACGCTAGACAATTATATGTCAGTTAATTTCAGTTTTTCAAAAAACTAAATTCCAGTAAATTTCGGATCATTTCTTGCTATCAATTGAAGATCTATTTTAATAGCTATTTTTTGCTTTGAGTGATTTGAGTTGATATCTCATTGACATATATATATATATATGTCAACTAATTTTATTGATTTTTAAGATATCTTAATTTTGAATAGTGTAGATATTTAGATAAAAATTGCCATATAAGAAACTCATTTTCTTACGTTCAGAAAATTAACTGTTTCACATATAAACCATTTCAACAGAAAACTTTAATAAATTCAAACTTGTAACATACACCCAAGATGAAAAAAACTTCTACCCTGTAAAATAACATATTTCAAACAGTAAAATATTACCAGTATTGCTGATAACTTGGTCGTTGCTGTTGATGACAGACAATCTGCAGAGAAAAAAACAAGGCAAATTATATAATGTAATACATATTTAATATTGAAATATACATAATATATGACCAGTGTCCTGTGTCAAAAGTGACTTCCCATTATTTTAGAGAACAAATGACAGAGGTTGAATTTTAACTTATGGGGGGGGGTGTGTTTAAACCCTTAAAGTTTTTTTTTTCTAAAAATATTACCAAAAATGTCTGTTTTCCTGACAAATAGGTTGTTGTTGACTTCATACTCAGTAGAAAATATCATGAATATGGAGGAAGATTGAAAAATAGACAAATTAACTAATTCATTACAGCATGTAAGTCATGTAAGTCCTACGGCAAGAACTTTATTAGACTCTGATTGATTAATAGATTAATTGGTGTTTAACTCCACTGTTGTGCTATTTCATGGCGGTCAGTTTTTCTTGGTGGAGGAAGATACCTCCCATGTCCCCCTCATTGGTGTTTAATCCATGAAAATAACTTATAAATTCATACTATTATTTCAAATTACAATACCTGTCATTAATTCACACTTTTCTGTGGCAATATTTTTCTTTTTGACACCAATACCATTAAAATCAATCCATTTGAGATACCGAAAGTGATTTCAATCAATTTTCCAACATTTGCCAGTACAGTTTAGTTAAAACTTTGATCTTATTGATATGAAATCAAATCCATAAAGCATTTTCAAAACTAATCAGTATCTAAACTCATAATGTTTTATGTAATCAAATCATAAAGTCAACTTTAAAACCTATTCCAAAAAAAATAAACGGAGAATGTGTCCCCATGGACACAGATGATGCCCTCGCTTGCATACAACATTATAAAGGGACATAACTCAAGAACAATAAAAGTGACGCTACCCAAATTTGTACTTGATCTGAGATTTGTGGTAATAAGTATTGTGTATAGGTCTCATAAATGTTTGGTTGGGACAAACTTAAGTTACAGAACCGAAACTTAAAATTTTGCAATTTTTTCGATTTTTAAAGGAGCAAAACTCGAAAATGATTAAAGTGACGCCACCAAAATTCAACTTGATCGGTAGTTCGTGGTAAAAAGCATTGTGTATAAGTTTCATAACATTTGGTTGAGGCAACTTAAGTTAGAGAACGGAAACAAAAATTTTTACAATTTTTCCATTTATAAAGGGGCATAACTATAGAACGGTTAAAGTGACACCCCTAAAATTCAAACTTGATCTGTGTTTTGTGGTAATAAGCATTGTGTATAAGTTTCATAACACTTGGTTGAGGCAAAATCAAGTTAGAGAACGGAAACCAATTTTGGGACGTACGGACAGACAAGGGTAAAACTTAATGCTCCCTCCGCTACGGCGGGGGCATAAAAATATATGGGGTGTTGAAAGGCACTTAAATTATTTTTGTATGGGTGGGGGGCAGGTCAAGAAGTACAAATTGTGTGGTTTTGCATGCAAATCAAAATGCTACTGTATGGGTAGTGGCCATGAAAAAAGTGCCTTCCAACCACCCAAAAATTGTTTTTCTGGAATAGTCCTAATCAAATGTCATAGTACCTCCACCATCTCCGCAGAATGATATCAACCATGGTAGCCCATTATCTTCAATCTCTTCCTCTGACCTCAGTGTATATGCATCAAACTCTATACTTTTTAGGGCAAACTTAACCATCTTTCGTGTTGTTCTATCCCCATGATATTTCTCAGTCTGAAAATAATATTGAAATTTCATCTACAGAAATCATAAACTAGATCTTCAATTATTTTTTTTCATTTATTAGCTCCGGAAAATAAAGTTCCAATCTTAATTCTGTAAAGTACAGTTTAAATCTATGAACATTTACTATCCTGCATTCTATTGATACCTATATTTTGGCATTGCACAAGATCATGTTTTTCTCTGAATGTTTTTGACGTCTTTACACTAAATCCATTAGATATGTATGGATTGATATTTAATCTTAGATACATGATTTTTTATAAATTATTTTCACCTTTGAACTAGCCTTCCGTTACTGCAAGTATTCTAAGGTTTGTACCTCATGTCTCAAGTTTTTTTTATGTGCAGATCTGACTAGTTAATTTTTTTTTCAACAGATTTTTATAGTTAGTTCTTATGTTGTGTATTTACATCACTGTCCCAGGTTAGGAAGAGGGTTGGGCGCTAACAAACATGTTTAACCCCACCACATTCTGTAAGTGCCTGTCCAGAGTCAGGAGCATTTAATTTAGTGGTTGTAGTTTGTTGCTGTATATAATATCTGTTTTTCATTTATAGTTATGTACATAAAGCAGGTAGCTAGTTTTCTCGTTTGAATAGTTTTACATTTGTCATGTCAGGTCCTTTAATAGCTTATTTTGCAGTATGGGTTTTTCTAATTGTTGAAAGCAGTATGGTGACCTGTAGTTGCTTACTTCTTCCTCATTTGGTCTCTAGTGGAAAGTCGTCTCATTGTCAATCAGGCCAAACCAAAAAGTATGTGTGTTATTTTACTGTTACATACTGAAAAAAAATAGGGTAGGTAGGAAGGGAATTTTTTTTTATTCTTAATATTTTTCACATTGAGTCTATGGGAGCATCATTGTGACTTTGACAGTGCTTAATCAAAAATGGAAAAAAAACTTAAGGGTAGGGGATAAAAATTAAGGTAGGTAGGGGTACAGTAAACACACATACTTTTCTGTTTGGCCTCATACCAAATCATCTTATTTATTATATATGGTGGATTCATTTAACTTTATGGATACCAATTGTTGTGGATTGAGGAAAACTGGCATTTTTTCTTGGATATCTGATTTTGTGGTTTGCCAAAATCAGCATATATGCATATAGCAAATTTGTAATTCATTGTACATTTAAATTCATGGTTCCCCTGTTCCAGTGAAAATTGGCATCCAATAAACAACAATGAGTCCACAGTAGTTTGAAACCCTATGATCCAGGGGTTTCATTATCTTTCAAGTTGACTGGTACATTCCTATTTGTAGGGGTAGTACTTTTCAATATATTCAATGAACATCTTATATAAAAATTCCTGAATTCAGGCGGTACTTATCAGTAGCATAGGAGGGTAAACGTACCGGGTACCGAACCTAATGAATGGCCTGGGCCCTATCTCTGTCAAGCATTGTATGAAATCTCAAAATCTTACCACAGGATACATGACTAGCGTAGGATATGACCGTATTCCCTGCATTCTACAAAGATTCCAATCATCTCCACAATTTACAGCTCCTATACGTATCACACCGGCAAGTTCCTGTGCTACTTCTCTCCACTGAAAGTAGAAACAAAATGTGTTTAATTTGTATTTTGAGGATGTTAGCTCCTCTTGTTTCTGACTTTTTGTCAGATATTCAGAATCCTCCAGTGTTATCAATGTATTTCTATTTAATATTTTGCCTGCCAGCCCCTTCTTTTCTTTTCATTATTTCATAACATATAGTTTGAAAAGCCAATTTAAATAAAAGAACAGAGTTCCAATGTCCCCCGCGTTGCACTTATTTAATATTTCCAAGGGGCATAACTCTTTTAAAAAAAGTCGATCGTCCACCATTATAACTTGGCTGAGATATTGCTGATATTAACATATAGTATAAGTTTTATAAATATCTGGCAAGAATCATGACAATGTAAAAGGGAAAACTCTTACTCCATCTATTTACAGCTCGTGCTAACTCATGACAATGTAAACGGGAGATAACTCTAACTAAATTTACTTACAGCTGGTGCCAAGTCATGACAATGTCCACAATGTGGTGAGTAATAATTGATAAACCAGGTATCCCCCGATTCTTCTACCGATTGTTCTGTAAAATATAAAGTAGGAATTATGAATCAAATTTCAGAATTTGTTATAGATAATATTCCACTAACAAAACAACAAAATTAATTTGTGAAGGTGTGTTTTGCAAGGACAATTTAAAGGTGGTTAAAGAGTTTCATATTTTTCATATTCCATTATCAAAATCAGTTATTATGTGTAATCATAGGAGTTAATTCTCCAGATATCTATATTAAATGTTCTCCTTTAAAGATCTAGATAGCAAGATCATTGAGTCAGGCATTCAGTTACCTTTTTTCATTAATTTATTTCATACCTCCATCGCTACACATTTGGTAAAATTTAAAAATTTATTTTACTTTTTTTAAATGTTTGATAATAAAATAATGTGTTGTACGCATATATTTCATGCAAGTATTGACATAAATTCACAAATTTATTTGGTTTAAGGGTGTTACCTAACAGACATTAAAAAGACATAATAAATAGCAAATCTGGCAATAAACTGGAATAATATCTCTTCAACCATTTTTGTTTAAAATCATAATTGATCAATACTGTGCAACACAAATATCAACCATGCAAGCAAAATGATGTGTCCTTTGTTTTTCTGTTATTTTCATTTCTAGGAATACAATCACTGCTCTGACATAAGGTATACTTATATATATATTTTTTACATAATTTTGTTTGATTATAGCAACAGTATATAAGTTTACTTGCTTGTTTATTTCTGTAAAATGCACTCACCAAAGTCTGACTTGCTTAATGTTATAATCTCCTTATCATCATCATATAAACCTGTAAAAAGATGCTAAAATAAAATGTGTGTATGAGGAATAAGTAAACCAAACCTGCTAGTAAAAATAAGATTGAAAATTGATACTGTGGATTCATTATTATTCGTTGGATACCCATTTTCGTGGATTTCGTGGGTACAGGTGAACCACGAAATTAAATGTTCAACGAATAACAAATGTTCTATAGACTTGTATGAAGATTTCAGCATAGCCACGAAATTAAATATCAACGAACATGCAAGTTTTCCTTAATCCACGAAAATTGGTACCCACGAAAATAAATGAATCCACAGTAGATGATTGCTCAATATCCAGTGGCAAATGTAACATTCATATTCAGGATGATATCCAGTTTATGCAATTGCAGTAAAATGAAGATACCCTGTGTTCTACTAATCTTACATGCTGATTTGGATTTTATTTGGAAGCTCAAAAGGTAACAGTCTGATGGCAGACATGTGACCCTACATTGAAATATTATTCTGACCCAGGGTAGACCAGTCTACCCTTATTCCTGAATGCTGCTTTTTGGGTATAGAATCAAATATCAATAATTCTAAATCTTTGTTTTGACCTGTAGGAATCAAGCAAATTACATTCTGTACAAGATAAAAGCATGCTATCAAGAGGCAATTAAGGTGGTTTAAGATGAAAGGATCATAATTTTTTGGTTCCACTTTTTTTTTACTGATTCCCTTTGAAAGTATTGCCATTCACAGTAATCAGTGTCTGTTTCTTTGACAAATCTTTGATAATAGTTTTTTTTTGTTTAACATGTACATGTTAAAAAAAATTAATCAACTGAAAGATGTTTGCCTGAGTCAAGTGGCAAGTATTTCAAACAAATCATAAATGATGACAACTGAAACAAGACACCACAAAATGTATTTAAGTGCCAGTCTTTGTAAGAATCAGGCAATGTAGAAAATTTTCAGAACATGACTGATAAAAACCCACTGCCCAAAACATACTATATTGAAGTTACCCTCATCCTGAGTTAGAAATGTTAGGTCTTTTGTTTCTGGGCAAAGTCAAAATAAATGGTCCAAATTTTAAATTTTTGACCAAATTTCAACATTGTTTCAGTGCATTTTCTTTTGTTGTATCTTGATACATATACATTTAAGTTAATAAATCCAAAAGGATATAAAAAAAGTATAAAGAAATAAAAAAGTTCTGAAACTTTATTGACATAAACCAATAAACAAAATTTAAATCAAGTATACATTTTTGGAATATGATTTCAGACAAACAATATCAAATATTTATATTTTGTTCACCCCAATTGATTGCAGAGATCCAAACATTACTTTTGATGCAATGATTAATAATCTCCTCTTTGATTATCCTTTTTTTTTTTATGTTTTTGGCTTTTTTTTGTATCAATTCATTTAAAATTGATTGAAAAAGTTTTGATTAAAACATAAATCATCAATTAGTTGATAAAAAAACTTCTCCATATTAAAATGAACCCTTTTTCAAATTCACAGAGTAAAAAAAACTGATTGATAAATCTTTTAATAAAGAAGATATATCAAAAAGAAAATACATCCAATTTCCCCTGTTTTTGTTGCACTCCTGACATATTATACACCAAACAAAAAATACAGAAACTAGAACAAAATACTCATGATTTTTAAAAATTTGTAATCATTGCTGATTTATAAAGACCTAAATCTGTCATTTCAATGTTATTTCTATTTTAACTTATGCATCTTATGCATTTCAGATCATATTTAAATTGATTTCTCTGACACATTATTATTAAAATCAGGTTAAGTTACCAAACTATGAACTAAATTCTATTTAATATTCAGCAGAATTGTTGTTTGACAACTTATAAAGAGATCTGCAATCTTCAAAGTTTTTCTGAACTATAATTTTTTTTTAAATTATTACCTATATAAGGTACTTTATTTCTCCTATTCTGTTGCACTCCTGACACTCAATATATACATGTATCATATCAAAGCAGTTATACATCATCAAAATAGTCCATGATTTCTAGATGAAGTGTATATACCTTTCAGATTTAACGTTTTAATTTCATTTAAACAATATTTTTGAACTTTTTCATATTTATTACTTATTGTATACAGAAGTTCAAGTCTCATCACATTACGCTACTATTTTTTTTTAAATGGCAGTCTTTGCTGGTTTAGAATGGGGTGAATTTTGTGGCTTGATGTGTAGAATATTCCTGCAAAATATCTTTGGAAAATCTCAAGTATTAAAAAAATGACGTTAAAAATAGATGCCAAAATTGTCAGGAGTGCAACACTTTTTTGTGACATTTTGAAAAAATACTTTTTTTTAAAGACACAGCAAATTGTTGTATGGAGGTATGTGCCTTAAATTCTAATTTGTTTTACAACTATTATGTCTTAGTGATGATTTTAGATTAGAATGAAGCTTTTCCATTAAACCATTTTGATACAGATGTGTTTTGAAAAAAAGTAGTGCCCTGTCAGGAGTGCAACACATAAATTAGTACAACTGAGGAATAGAATGATTTTTGAATATATGAATCACACTTAAACATAAACAAAAGTCAATCCTGTTAAAAAAAGATATGTCCTTTCCAGAATAAATACTTTATTAACCTGATTATTCATATAAATGATGTGTGATAGTCAAGTAAAAAAGGCTTCCCTATAAATGTCAGGAGTGCAACTTTGAAGTTTAAAGACTCACACTTAATAAATACAAAAGCCAACATATTGTTCTGTTTTATTTTTCAAAAGATACTATACTAGATACAAGATTGCACCCAAAGAGTAGCCTGATAGACAAGGAATTTATCTTTTTGCACCATTTCTTTGATGTCAGGAGTGCAACAGTTTTAAAATGTTATTTTCTTGGGACTTATATTTTAAGATAATATCAGCTCCTTGTGACTTATTTGCCTTCAAATATGTTTTCTTACTACATGTATTTAGGCTACATGTATGAGTTATAATAAATTCCTAAAGGTGAATTTCAAAGCAGGACTTTGATCCAAAAATTATTGTTTGTCACAAGCAATTATATCTGAATGATGAATTTTTATATAATTTTTGAATTTAGGAAACTTATTGTCATAAACTGTGTCTTTTGATAAGAAAATAACCATATTTCAATTTAAAAGTTTTATAATGGTTTCATGTCATGCAAGTAATACTTATCAAATTATTATAACTGTAATAACAAACAATTAATTGTGTTGAACTCCTGACATGAATTTTCCATAACAAGCAGTTTTGCACATTTTGAGTTCAATTTATATGATCCAACCTTTAAATGAATGAAAGATGGGAAAGATGGTTGTGAAACTGAACTTTAGAAGAAAATCAGACAGGCTAAGTGCATACAAACACACCATCAAAGTCAACAACAACTTCAACTTTGAGGAGTAGAAAATTGAGAAAAACTCTGAAAGAAGATCCACCTAAAGGACACACTAGACAAATATAAGCAAAGAAAACAAAACAATGTAAAATTAAATTACAAAGACTTAGACCTGAAGACAAAAACACAGATGGAGAAAATGAAAAAAACAAAACAGAGATTGGCAACAGAAGAAAAGAAGAAAATTGACACAAGCCAAAAAAGTTGCAAACCAACAGAAAAATGTCCAGTCGAGAAGCAAAAGTACCGGTGCAGATACACTTTCTAGAAAAATCAGAAAGAGAAGACAAAGTATAAGGAACATTCTTCCTTCTTCAACCCAAACCTTGGCCTAAAACAATTGAATACATTATATCCACAGCTACACCAAGGCAGTTGTAAGAACTAATCAGTACTGATGGAAGTGTGCAAGAAATTGATGGGTGCCGAAGTGGAAACAGAGACCCCTTATAGATCTGGAAACTGTAGAAAAGAAACTGGCATTTTCAAAAAGAAAAGAAGGCTACCTGAAAAGTTTAGAACTAAGGGACTCTTTAAAAATGCCATTTTCTTTTCAACAGTTTTCAGATCTTTGAGGGGTTCCTCAACTTTGTTTATACTTCGGCACCCATCAATTTCTTGCACACTTCCATCAGTACTGATTAGTTCTTACAACTGCCTTGGTGTAGCTGTGGATATAATGTATTCAATTGTTTTTCTCAATTTTCTACTCCTCAAGGTTGAAGTTGTTGTTGACTTTGATGGTGTGTTTGTATGCACTTATCCTGTCTGATTTTCTTCTATAGTTCAGTTTCACAACCATCTTTCCCATCTTACATTCATTCAAAGGTTGGATCATAAAAATTGAACTCAAAATGTGCAAAACTGCTTGTTATGGTAAATTCATGTCAGGAGTGCAACAAAATTAATTGTTTGTTATAACAATTATAATAATTTAATTAGTATTACATGAAACCATTATAAAACTTTTAAATTGAAATATGGTTATTTCCTAATCAAAAGACAAAGTTTAAGACGATAAGCTTCCATAATTTGAAAATAATATGAAAATTCATCATTCAGATATTTTTGCTTGTGACAAAAAATAATTCTTGGATCAAAGTCCTGCTTTGAAATTCACCTTTAGGAATTTTTTATAACTCAAACATGTAGCCTAAATAGTTAGAAAACATGTTTAGATGCAAATAAGTCACAAGGAGCTGATATTATCTTAAAATATAAGTCAAAGAAAATAACATTTTAAAACTGTTGCACTCCTGACATCAAAGAAATGGCGCAAAAAGATAAATTCCTTGTTTATCAGGCTACTCTTTGGGTGCAATCTTGTATCTAGTATAGTATCTTTTGAAAAATAAAACAGAACAATATGTTGGCTTTTGTATTTATTAGGTGTGAGTCTTTAAACTTCAAAGTTGCACTCCTGACACTCATAGGGAGGCCTTATTTACTTGACTCTCACATATTATTTATACCAATAATCAGGTAAATGAAGTATTCATTCTGGAAAGGACAAATTTGTTTTACAGGATTGACTTTTGTTTATGTTTAGGTGTGATTCATTTATTAAAAAATCATTCTATTCCTCAGTAGTACTAATTTGTGTGTTGCACTCCTGACAGGGCACTACTTTTTTTCAAAACACATCTGTATCAAAATGGTTTAATGGAAAAGCTTCATTCTAAGCTAAAATCATCACTAAGACATAATAGTTGTAAAACAAATTAGAATTTAAGGCACATACCTCCATACAACAATTTGCTGTGTCTTTAAAAAAAAGTATTTTTTCAAAATGTCACAAAAAAGTGTTGCACTCCTGACAATTTTGGCATCTATTTTTAACGTCATTTTTTTTAATACTTGAGATTTTCCAAAGATATTTTGCAGGAATATTCTACACATCAAGCCACATCATTTGAAATTACTTTATTCAATCAAATGATCAGTATGATTGATAAATATTGCTTTATATGCAGGGAACCATTTTTTTTTACTTTGCCCATCTGCGTGTCTGGTAATTCAAGAAATCTCTAGATAACTTATGGTTAGAATGATAGAAAATTAAGGAGTTAGTCCCTGTAATTTTAATTTTGTGTGCATTTCAACCAAGTTATAAGAACAGGAAAAGAAAACGAATGTTATATTTGTGCATCATTATAAAATTTGAACATAAAGTAATGTCAACTTGAGTGGGTTTTTGTTTGTCATGTTTCACTACTGCCTGATTCTTAGGCAGATTGGTATTTAACATTTACTAAGACCAAAGTAATATATATATTCATTACCGACTGTGTGAGATGCTCATTGGTTGTCAAGGTTGTTTAACACAACCATTTTACAAAACCACCAAATCATATTACGTAACATCCGGTTGCATACAAAAAAGGGTTGAAAAAAATATTCCCTTGAATTTGACATTTGTAGGAAATTAATCCTACATTTCATTGCACTAAAAAATTTCTAAGTCATAAACATATACCTTGGGTGTTTCAAAGCACCATTCTTTTTTTATTTGGTGTTTCTATAAGATATTTTGGGAACTTGAGGTTACATGGTTACTAAAGCTTGTAAACAGGAAAGAAAAGGTGGAAATTTGATTGGTTAAATTCCAGTGATGCCAAGTATATCTTTATTTGAAACAAAGATAAATTCTGCACAATTTTTTGAAAAGTGCAAATTTAACAAAGACTAATAGGGAAAAACAATGGTGATATTTTGTAACACCTACAAACCGTGATGAAATTAAAGAAAATATACCAAATTCTTCTTGATAAAATTTCCAACTTTCGTATCTATTTCCACCATGGAAATCGTCTTTCAAGCCTTCTTCCCCGTGCATGTCATACTTTTTACGTAAATCTTCATCTTTTAAAACTTCATACGCTCTGTTTATTTTTAAAAAGTTATCGTGAGCTTCTGGATTATCCTTTAACATATAAAGAAAAATAATTAAACTTTTGCATAAATAATAAATGTCCTATGTAAGAATATATAAATAATCATGAATAAGAATGTATCCATAGTACACAGATGCCCCACTCGCACTATCATTTTCTATGTTCAGTGGACCTTGAAATCGGGGTCAAAACTCTAATTTGGCATTAAAATAAGAAAGATCATATCATACATGTAGGGAACATGTGTACTAAGTTTCAAGTTGATTGGACTTCAACTTCATTAAAAACTACCTTGACCAAAAACTTTAACCTGAAGTGGGACGGACGGACGGACGGACGAACGCAGGCACAGACCGAAAAAACATAATGCCCCTAGGTAGGGTATAAAAATGGAGATATACTACACATCAATGAGACAGCAACGCAATAACACAGGGTCAGACTACATCTTTGACAGAGTGAATCTCCAACCCTTATCAATCTCCTTAATTTCTGAAGAAATTTGTCAGAACTACACCCGTATTTGAGGCTTTCAATTATATAATTAAAACCATGCATGTTTCTGAATGTTCACATATCACTAAATAATGAAACCCTTTCAAATCCTTAGGGAAGAAACCTTAAAAAATCTTCAATTTAAGGAATCATATATCATGTATATTGTTTGTACATCATGTAGTGCTGACATATTAGTTCTGAAAAAATGTAATAGTAGAAATGAAATTGGAAGTATTATTATACAAATATTTTTTCAAATATCATGAATACATATATATGTATCAGTATATATGCAGCACCATGTTATCATGGCATGCATTATAATTAAGACCCTTAGAAGAACACTCTTAGCAATTTTTTTTAAAAAGAAAAGCTTATCACGATGAAATTGAATTGACCAATTGGTAAGATGGTTAACAAATAAATGATGTTTTGCTGTAAACATGGTAAACAAACCTGGTTTTTATCTGGATGCATGGTAACAGCTAACTTTTTAAAAGCTTGTCGTATTTCTTTTGTGTTAGCACTTCTTTGAATTCCTAACAGTTCATAATAGTCATCAGCAAGAGTCGCAGTCAATACACAAATAAATAATATGAAAACACTTGTAAATAATCGTTTGATCATTGACATATCAGTACATAATAAAATCTGCATGATGGTTGATTAGCTGTTGTACACTACAGTATCTTGTCCTGAAAAGAAAAAGAAAAGTTATATATAGGAGCCTGTTGTTCAGTTGTTGTAATTTGTTGATGTGGTTTTTTTATATAGATTAGACCGTTGGTTTTCCTGTGTGAATTGTTTTACACTAGTCATTTTGGGGCCCTTAATAGCTTGCTGTTCGTTGTGAGCCAAGGCTCCATGTTGAAGGCCGAATTTTCACACATTGTGACTTGGATGGAGAGTTGTCTCATTTGCACTCATACCACATCTTCTTATTTCTATGTTATAAAATGAACACTTTTTATCAACTAGTTAACAAGATTTAAAAAAAAAAAATTTGTGCACATATACCTGGTTTCAACTTCAACTTCAGTAAGGGGTATGACTTAAACAAGTAATTTTATTATCACCTGTTTTAGGGATTCGAAAATTTCAGTAATCACCTATTAAAGTAATTTTGGCAGTGATTAAGCTAGTGCTAGTCATTTTCAGCATTTACGAAATGGTTTTATAATGACAAAAGTATTTCTAATCAATCTTGTCACTTAAATTCTGAAAGTGTAAAAACATTTTTGCATGATAATACTATAATTCTTCATGTCTTCATGTTTCTGACAAGTTTATGACCCTCAGCTAATTAACCTCTACAACAGCAGTCTTTGCACTCAGCCAGAGGCCCACCAGCCCAGGCTTGTAAAATGCTGTCGGGCCTGTAAAAATCATCTCTACAAGCCAATAAAATCTAACTAAAATTTTTGTAAAATTAAGCTTCGGGCCTATAAGTTAAAAGTTTATCGTGAAGACTGTAACAGGTGTTATAAGCTGTGATTACAGGTAATCCACTTATCGCCACCGAATGGGTCACTAATCGGTTAATTAATAAGCATCATAACTGACCATCATAATTATTTTTCCCAGTAAAATTGGTCAGTCGGCATTTCAATTTCAATATTTCTAAAATGACCACAATTTGCAGTTCGTTTATCGTAGTTATGTCATTTGAACAAAATTGTCCCCCCCCATGACAGTTTGCATTTTAATTTCAATATTTCTCAAACGATCACAATTTCCATTTTTTTGTCATAGTTTCGTAATATGAACGTATTTTCATCATATCTGATCATGCTTATATAACTTTTCATCAAAAACTTTCGACAATTTGATTAAAAAAGATAGAACTTTATTCAAAACAATGAGAAATGTTTTCACGAGTCAAACTGGTGATTTCTTCACTATGTACTGCGCATGCGTGAAAGTACTCTTTTAAATTTGACACTTAAACGTAAAATAGGAAATCAAGTATCAAATTAAAGGAGAGAGATAGACAAATATTATATATGTCTTACTAAGCAACTTAATTTCCTGCCTTTTGTTAAACACAGAAACCAATCTGTAGATGAATCCGGATTCATTCTGAAATTTCTAAGTCATTTCCGTTTTCTATTTCGTTTAAAAATCAAAAGTTAATGTGATCTATTCTTGATTAATTTACTATATACATGATATACAGTCATTAGAACCGTTCCAACAAGGATTTGTTCAAATCCTTAGTTCCAAATTTATAGAAATGAATTCTAAATATTGATTTAAACATTTTTACAAGGATAATGATTATGTAGTGAAATAGTTGTACTTTGCATACATTTAATAACTCCATAGTTTTTACACATTTATTCTTTGGTCCTCTACTTTCCAAATCAACATAAATGGTTAAGCTCAGTCACTTGTTAAAAATAGAAACATGTCCAATATCACTACACAGAATTTTTTTGTGTACGCACAACTTTTGTGTTCCTCAATTTGAGGGGCATTAGGGATATTGACCTAACTGAACTGAAATTGGGAACTAGGTTAACTGCCTAGCATGCCTGAGTCCTTCAAAAGTGTATATAGCTAGTAATATACATGATATACTTGGTCCCATGCTGTTTCCCAAAATAAGGTTGATTTTCATCTCGGGCAAAAGTGAGTAAAGCCCTCAAAATCCTAGCTAAAACCCTGGATTTTGGTGTTTCATTTGATCTTCAAATGCTATTTTAATTAATTTTCCATTAAATTACCATTTTGCTGTAATTTTCCTTCATACATTTGTAGATCAATAATCCCTTTCTCATGTTTCTCTTGTATATTAATTTCATCAGTGTGCTAAAGTACCCTTGGGAATTTTTCTGTAATCAAATATTCATTAACTACTCTTATAATCAGACAAAGGTCAACAATTAAAAGTAACCTGATTGGCCTTCCACTTAGAATGATCAACTTCAAGGTTTAGTCCTAATCTTCAAATTATATATTCAGTTTATGCATATATTTCAAATAAACAATAATGGACAATGTGTTGATCACTGTTATTCATTTTGTAATGTTTGTACAACTACATGTTAATTTTTCAGAGAAGTTGTTGGGCTTGATGTGGCAGAATGAACAGGGGTTCAAATTAACATTTGGTACTGGAAGGTGTTGAAAAGAACCTTATATCTATTTAACTAATCAGGCTTACATTCATGACATTGCTGCTTGAGAATACATTGTCCAAGTTTAGTGTCTGACAATTAATCTTCAGACTTAAAATTTGGGTCACTTTCATGGATCCACTGCTTTAAACAAGATACATGCTGGGGTGTCACTTCGTATATTTTCATTGGGTCTATTTTAAGATTTTGTGTTCCCCTTACAAGTGCACTCTCGTTTTCTGAATGGATGAGGAACTTCTGGCAGTAGGTGCATGACTTTAGACCAGTTGATTCATCAAAATATAGCCACGGTTCGATCGATTTTCCAGTGGGGCTTAAATGTCGTTCTCGTTTTTCACAATCGCATTTCATTTTTGGGTTCTTGTGAGATCTTCAAGTTTCTTTTGAAAACGTTAAAGACACAGGCACTTGTTTCTATCCATGATGGGAAGGTTGAATATATCCTTCTATATTTATGGATAGTCAACCTTCCCATGGATAGAAACAAGTGCCTGTGGTTGAAGACCGTTCATAATCTTCAGGCTTTCTCTTGGAAGACGTGACACCAAAGTGAAACGGACTCATTATGTTTGAAAATATCTTAATGATTAAATGATTTGACACGTGACTTCTCGCAACTATTTATAACCTTGTGTTTCCAAGAAATACATGGTTAAAAATAACTTTTATCACTAGTCGGCAAGGTCAGGGATGAAACATTTTTTTATCTCAATTTCAATAATAATATGGCTTAAAAATGACGATAAAGATGGTTAAAAAGGTCAGCAAAGATCATTTTTATTTCCTTTAAAATCGAAAGTCCGTTGGGCGTAGGTAATTACCAAAACGAAAGTCCGACTGCAACAGTGGAAGGTCACAGACCTTGGACCACCGCTAATTTGAACCCCTGAATGAACTGTCAAATATTTAACATCATAAAATACTAAATCAATTAAATGTTGTCATGTGATCTGTACTGTAAATGCCAGAACTTTTCGGTCAGTTTTTCAACAAACTGATTTTCTGGTGCCATTGACAAGCACTATCCAGAAAAAAGGATTTTTCCTGTACAATTTCATTTAAGTTTTTCATATTCAAATTAGAGACACATCACAGGTCAGAGACAAAACAATATGGCCGTCTCTTGAATGACAAAATGAATCTATAACTAGCTTTAAAGGTATTTTCAAAGTGTTAACTTAATGGACGCAGCTGAACAGCCAATAAATGATATCATGTGTACAGAATGGTGCTGCTAGTGTAAATAGCGACAGATCAAAGTGAGATAGTTTAAAAAAAATCACACAAATAAGAGTTTATAGGGCTTGATAAGGGATTCTGCGGCTACCAAATCAGAAAATTGCTCCAGACACCAAATCACAATTTTTCGTACTAGTGTGGATAGCAAACGGAGGATTGACAGAAACAAGTACCTGTGGAAAATAACTAAACTTATAGAAAGTATGCAGTCTTGAATGACGTGTAAAACAGACACTTAAGACATGAAATGTGAAGGCAATGGATTATCATTAAAAATAACTTAAAGTCAATCATGTACCGTTTAAATCTGGTTTATAGTCCACGGCACAAAAAACGTCTGCATGTGGAGTACCGGATGTTGTCAACGTGTATTTGCGCACGCGTACTCTTTCTCTAGACGGTCTCACTAATTAAGGACAAGAAGAATTTTAGCGACAAGAAGCGACAAGAAGAATAATTTAGCGACAAGAAGAATGAATTTAGCGACAAGACTATATATATATATGCTATTTAGCGACAAGAAAACAAATTTAGCGACAAGACAGTGAATATAAATTTATAGAAAAAGTCATTATTTAAAGTAATTTAAAGCATCACGCATTTTTGAAACCTAGATCTAAATGCTACATAATTTTATTTACAGCAAATATTACGTTATATTCTTGCCTCCCCATGTCGCTAAAGTTATATTTGCTTAAGAGCAACAAAAACACATCTATTTCCAAAGCACGTTTATTTCAAAGAGACAGATAACATCACATCAAATATGCATCATCGTCATACAAAGGGACACAACTCTCACGACTTAACTACAAAACACATACGACCATACAATACATATATATAACACCTGACATATGATATTAATTTTTACTTGTGTTTCAGAACAATTATATATTCATCTTATGATTTTTTTAACACTTTTTTCGTCTAATATATAATGAACTGACTGCATTCAAAATGCATTATTTGTGCATCATTGTCCAGAAAATACAGACATAATTTGTGAAATACAATGAACTGAAATCGTCGAAATCAAACAAGAAGAAAACATTATCAAAACGTTAACATTTTACATCATTTTATTTTGTGTATTGGCTTATAATATTAAACGATAATTTTTATGCATAGTTTAATGTTGATTGAAGATTAAAGATAAATTAAGACAATGTTGAGTTCTAAACAGGTGTTCACTATTTACAATGATTGTATATTCTGGCGCGTGTAATTGTCTAGTCTGACGCGTGTACAAAGTTAAGTGTTAATTGGATGTTATTGTAGCAATAAAACAAGGGACACGCGTATAGCTATTCTTATTTGATTGTTTCTCATTGTATGAAAACAGTACATACATTATCTTAAACGTATTCTTTATATTTAACGAAAACTAGACGATCCCTTTCTTCTTTACAAATGTTTAATTTCTTCATCTATCAATATAATAAAAAAAAATCACTTAATTTATAACAACATATATAAAAACAAATTTCAATGGATATTTTTTTAATATATTTATTTGGAATAAGTCGTTTTAATAAGGTTTTTTTTTAATTTCTTGTCGCTAAATAGTCTTCTTGACGCTTCTTGTCGCTAAATTATTCTTCTTGTCGCTTCTTGACGCTTCATGTCGCTTCTTGACGCTTCTTGATGCTAATTAGTGAGACCCTCTCTAGATAATATTGTTTGAGTACACGACAACTCGTATCTTTGTCATTTCGTACCTTTGCCAACTCGTACTCAACCAACTCATGTGTAAATGAGATGATTGTGTCCATTTTCTGATATTAATTATTTACCAATGAAAGAAACAATGACATTTTTTTCTTTGCATGGACCAATCTTAGAATCAAAAATTAAAAAAAGTAATCGGAAAATTTGTGATGAATTTCCCCTATACAGTACAATACACATTTTTTTCCTTTTAAAAACACCACACAATTTGTATCACAGATTTATACTAGTATACACATTTTAGATGTAGTGCTGTGTATTTAAGATTATTTTATTCATGCAACAGTTACCACATGCGCTTGGGGATTACATAGTATATTTTTTGTGTTTTATTTTTTTTAGCGTACCCAGAGACATGTATTATATGTCTCTGGCGTACCCAATGAAGGTTATTTAAAACATTTTTCAATTCACGCTTACTTATCATGTTAAAGGAACAAATGAATTGGATAGCAAAGCTGACCTTATAAAAAGCTTTACTATAGTAATAAACATAATAAAGGTTTATATTTGGAACGAGTTAATTACATCATAACGTGGGAGTTTAGGTATTGACGAAAAACTTTATTCAGGTTTTTTCCGAAAAAAATTTCAAGTGATATATAGCTGTATTGTTCAATGATAGAACTATACGTGTGAATAAACGGAGATGTGAGAAACAGCTAGCAATCCAACTACAAAAATAACCAACAGAAATCTAGAGGATAACACACAGTCTTGATGGTATGATACTAAACCCCTAACGGGAAGGATTGTGCCTGATGTTCATATGATGAAGACATGATCTTTCAATCAGTTTAATTGAAGTCTGGAGCTGGCATGTCAGTTAACTGCTAGTAGTCTGTTGTTATTTATGTATTATTGTCATTTTGTTTATTTTCTTTGGTTACATCTTCTGACATCAGACTCGGACTTCTCTTGAACTGAATTTTAATGTGCGTATTGTTGTGCGTTTACATTTCTACATTGGCTAGAGGTATAGGGGGAGGGTTGAGATCTCATAAACATGTTTAACCCCGCCGCATTTTTGCGCCTGTCCCAAGTCAGGAGCCTCTAGCCTTTGTCAGTCTTGTATTATTTTTAATTTTAGTTTCTTGTGTACAATTTGGAGTTTAGTATGGCGTTCATTATCACTGAACTAGTATATATATTTGTTTAGGGGCCAGCTGAAGGACGCCTCCGGGTGCGGGAATTTCTCGCTGCATTGAAGACCTGTTGGTGACCTTCTGCTGTTGTCTGTTCTGTGGTCGGGTTGTTGTCTCTTTGACACATTCCCCATTTCCATTCTCAATTTTATTCAACAATAGACCTGCTAGTGTCTGTCTATCACGTGACGATACGCTCAGCTTTAAATCGTCCCGAGGCTCTATAAGTTATGAATGAACTTAATCGAAACAATCAAAGATCTATCATTAAAACTAAATTCTCCAAATAACTAAAAATAATGCGATGTGACATACGAAAACCAGGTGCGGATCAAGTCATATAAAGGGGGTTCCAACCATATGTCCCCTATACAAAAGCATTATTTGTCAAACAAAAAGGGGTTCCAATCCCTGGACCCCCCCCCCCCCTCTGGATCCGCCACTGAAAACTATTGACGATGTTCCTCAATATAGACATACATATGCAACTGTTGCAGTATTAAGGAACTTCTTACTTTCTACCTGGGTACAAGGAGGGTTTTTAAACATGGGACCTTAAATTATTTTGACTCCGAATGAAATTTCTCCTGAATTGTTGTATAACCCCTTTACCCTAACCAAAAATTATTTCCCTTTAATTTTATATCATGAATCAGGCTTTGATAAATAGCGGCATGCAAAAACTTATGTATAACAAATTGTGGATTTTTCATTAGTTTATCAGATGCTTTAAAGTAGCGTATATAAAAGTTTTTTTAAAAGTTAAAACGAGTCTAGTCTAAACATCTAAGATATATTTTAATTATTATCTGATAGGACAAACGATTAATGGACGACCATTTGATTATCATGTATTTGTTGGGAAAAAGGGGGGGTTGAAAAAGGAATATCCTGGCCTGTCAAGAGCCGAAATAAATAGTTTTGACCACTTCAGCAGAGAAATGAATATTCCGAAAAACATGTGTTTAGAAGTGAAACAATAAGCATGCGTAGCAACAGTTGAAAATGATAATTCAAAACATTACGAAATATATACACAGTCATATTCATTTGATTAATTAACTTCCCAATGTATAAATGACTGTGGTAACAATTTATAGTGGGATGTAGAAATTCTTCATAGAAACTAGGAATAAAATTATGCAAATATTTGAAATTATCCAAAAATGTTGACCTTCACTAATTAAATGTTTGCCAAGAAGAAGAACAAAAAAAATACCCTTTTGGTTATGATAAAAAACATTTGATACTCCCCAATTTTGCCCACCCCATCCTAGTAGGTAAGCTGCAATTCCCCTAAACTAGATTCTAAGGTATATAAACCTTCCCCTTTTAATATCGATCTGAAGAGGTATGTTTTTGAAATTATCCTAATGTACAAGTATGCATGCCATTTCCAAATTTTACAAAAATTACCAAATCTTGCAGAAAAAAGTTGACATGCACTTATTTCCCCCCAACAAAACCTTGGATTATGATAGAAATATTTGAAATCCCTTACATTTTGACTACCCAGTCCCAATTAAGTAAACTACAAATCTCCTAAACAAGGTCATGTATGGTAAACATAACCTCCCCAATTTAATATCGATCTGAAATGTATACAACATGCAATCGTTTACATTAAATGCATTTGGAATGCACTAATCTAAACCCATATCAATTTCAAGCGTTTGTAGTTTTAAACTGGTTGGAATTCCGACAGGTAAATATAAAAATAGAATTAATATTTCCCTACATGAATTCATTCCATTAAAAGGCGCAGACTAGGACGACTACATAAATAGATACATAAAAATAGACACCATGAAACTAAGGTACACGTTTTAAAAGAGTTCATTAAGAACTCAATGTCCTTAAAATATGAACAATAAAAAGTATACCATACTGAAGGCAAAAATAGCTGAAGAAATTGAAAGCATATGATTGAACAAATGATAAAGCACCCCCAAAGAAAAGGGGAACAAACTATCCAACACCGGCGTTATTGGTAGTCAATGTTCTTGATGAGACGCGATAAAAGCACTGGCACGGTGAGAAAGAACTGAGGTAGATGGAAATATTAATTTGTCATCTTTCCGTGTAAAAATTATGGTTGAGACGAAAGAAATCTGTTATGAAGTGATCCACTTATTGTATACTAAGTAAATTGACGAATTTAATGTGAACGAGGCTTTAGTTTTCTTCAAGAAAAACATGAATAATGAATTGAGCTATTTACAGATACAAAGAAGAAATAGTTGCTCGAGGTGATTGCGCTCAATTCTACAAGGTCTAGCAGTACATATGAAAAAGATGTTCAAATATCTACTGAATCACTTTGGTCCTACAAATCCCATTGCACCTTGACTTGAGTTAAAATGTTCTTTTTTGTTTTATGAACGTAGAATTGAAACATCAGAAAGCGTATGCCATTGTAAAAAGTCGGAATTTAATGAAGCAATAGAAATAATTGAATATTCAGAACATGACTCAGTCCGAGAAAATATGTTTTTAATGGAAATACCGA